ACTTCTACGCGCACCGCCGTCCGTCGATAAAGTAAGTTTCTTCGCTTTATCCTTCTTCTCTTATGCCCTCTTTAGCCGACGTTAAGTAAACTCGGCGTCGATACGGGCGGAAGTAGACTAGATAAGCTCTATTAATATATCTATATCGTTATCTCGATATTTCTAGTCCCTTAATAGCGGTATATTCTTAAAAATAGTCTCTATAGTTAGAGACTTCTAAAACTTACCCCCTTTAATACTAGCGAATAGATATGCGAGTTACTAACGGTAGTTCCTAGGTATATAATACGAAGAAGGTATAGAAAATCGAGGATTTAATACTAGTATCCGCCCTCGATCTACTACCTATCGATTAATAAGACTTAACGCGAACCCCGTACGAGTATTTATCTTTAAAGCCGTAGCTAATACTATAGACGACGGCGCGGCTATAAAGATTAGACTTAATAATAGATTATATCTATTATAATACCGTTTAGAAGGAGCTACTATATTCGACTCGTCCGGCCGTAGTAGAATCTCCCCGAAATATACTAAGAACGTACGACGGTAATAGCTATTATTCGCTATTTCTTTCTAAGTAGCCGGTAGGTTCGCTCGTTAGACTACCGCGTTAGCCGGCTAGATACGTCGAAGATCGCTACTACTACTATCGTCTATAAGACTCTCTCTATCTAAGACGGATATCTCTAACGAGTATACGCTTAGTATTTCTTCGCCTATATCGCCCGGCGTAGCGACGGTATTTAATCGACTTCTTTAATTTCGTATTCGCCTACGATCGGCTAGTAGTATCCTCCTAATCGTACTATCCCGTTTAAGAGGACTACGCTTTCCGTTAGCCGTATATCGCCCGTCCCGCCTCTTACTATCGAAGACCTAATACGGTAGAAAGATAATATATAGACTAGTTCGACCCTCCCCTCTTCTACTACGCCCTAGTTTTTACTATACGTCGCTAATATCTCTTCCTAGAGGGAAATTATATATAACGATACGCTCGATATTAACGATATTAACTTCTATACTAAGATAAGTTGTCGTAATTATTATTCGGGTAGTAGAACCCGGCTAGTAAAACTCGATATATTTACGGCGGCGGTCGGTATCTACTACGATAGAACTATACTCCTCGATAATATTAGTAACTATATACTCGTCGTTCCCTCGGTGCGAATACTACTAATATTTCTATAAGAGGGCCTTCCGTAAGAACGCTACTATATACGGGATAGTAATAGTCGAATCGATAAAGACGACCGTCTTCGGGATTATCCGTAGCGTATATTTATCTAGAGTAATACTAGAATCTAGGAGGAAATATAGTAATACGAAACTCTTAATCTAGCTACGAGGAATAGGGCGTATATAGATAGTAATATCTAGACGATTAATAAACGTTTTAATAATCTATATCTAGTATAGACGCTCGCCGACCGGACGAAATCCGCTATACTAGAAGGCCGCCGCTTTAGCCTCTTTATATAATATAGCTAAATACCTAAACTAGATAACGTCCTTATAGAGCTATAATCTTAAGTAGTCTATTTCTAAAAACGCGGGTCGGAAGCTCTTAGTAAAGAAGTCTATATTAGTAGATCTACCCTATTAATAGATAAGATAGTACTCGTTAATAGTAACTATATCCACCTTATTATAGTCGTTTAGCTTCTCTAGTATACGTTAGAACTAGTTCTAGATAGCCTACTCCGGACTTAATAATACGTATATATATATACTAGCGGCGATATCGCGTATTAGCGTAGCGTTCTTACGCTAGAAGTTAACGATATAAGGCCGGGTCCCGTCTAGCTACTAGATATTATTAAGTTATTCGTTTCTAAGCTAGATTAACGGGATAATCTAAATAGTAATCTTCGCCGTTAAGATTAAAAAGATATAGAAGATTATACTCTTACTAAACCTAGTGCGCGCGACGAGTATAGTATCTCTATAACTAAAGATTAAGCGTTAAAGGATACGGGTCTATTTTTCTCGAGGCCTACGCCCTCCGCCGAGAATGCGCGTAAGGTATATCTTAAGAATCTTAATCTATAGATCGGGGTATAGCTTAGCCTTATTTACGACGTCGGGTAGCCTATCTAACGAAAGCTAAGGAATCGTTAGAATTATACTAGTAAGTAAACTTCTAAGAGACGATAGTATAGATACTATCTATTACTACTTAGACTTTCTCCGTCTCTTATTACCGCTACTACTCTTCTTCTTACTACGGCGTATATCTCTAAGAGTAATACTACTTAGTAGTTAATTAGTAAGTCTTCGTAGTTAGGTTCCCCGCTAAATATATATAGATTCTAGAGATAATACCGCTTAGTAGTTACTTAGTAGTTAGACCTCTCCGGTAAACGCGGGTAAAACTAGAGGAACTACTACTTAGTAGTTACTTAGTAGTTAGGTCTCTTCGGTAAATATAGGTAAAATCTAAAGAACCGCTACTTAGTAGTTACTTAGTAGTTAGAGTCTTCGGTAAACGCGGGTAAAACCGGCTAAGCCGTAGGCGAGATAAATAGCGAGACTTCGGCGGAAATAAGAAGCTTCTTAGAGAATAACGGGATCTCGACGGGCGGAATAGCGATAGAAGGCGAGATAGAGAGGATTACTAGATAAAGCTTAGAGATATAAGCTACTAATAGAGCCTCGAGATATAAGCTATTAATAAAGCTTTAAGATAAGAGCTACTAGTAGAGCTTCTAGGTAAGAGCTACTATTAGAGCTTCAAGATAAGAGCTACTATTAGAGCTTCGAGATAAGAGCTACTAGTAAAGCTTCGAGATAAAAGCTACTAGTAGAGCTTTAAGATAAGGGCGGATAATCTAATCGTAACTAGACGAAGGAACCGAATAAGAGATAGAAGCTAAAGTAGAACGTCGGCTAGGGTAGTAAGCTCCTCTAATAGTAGCGAGACCTCGGCGGGAGAGGGCGAGGTAGAAGAGATAGGAGACGTCGGCGGAAATAGTAAGCTTCTCTAATAGTAGCGAGACCTCGGCGGAAGAGGGCGAGATAGAAGAGATAGAAGACGTTAGTAGGAGTAGTAAGCTTCTCTAATAGTAGCGAGACCTTAGCGGGAGAGAGCGAGATAGATAGCGGAACCTCTACGGGCGGAATAATAATAGAAGGCGGGGGAGGAGACGATCGTCGCCTATATCTTCTAGAGCTAGGCCTTAAGTTCTTTCGTAGACGTAGGGGTCGCGCTAGTTACGCTCGAGATAGTATTACTAATTACCGTTAAGAAGAGAAGATAGACCTCGATAGATAGAGAAAAGATAGACCTTAATAGATAAGAAGAGAAGATAAACCTCGATAGGTAAGATACTAATAGCTAAGCCGGTAGTAATTATAAGCTACTTCTTAGATATAGTAGGCGAAGGTAAGATAATACTCTACCGCTATAAGAAATACTACTTACTACTTAGTAGTTGCTTAGTAGTTAGAGTCTCTAATAACTATAGACGAAACCGAAGAAATACTACTTAGTAGTTAGCTAGTAGTTAGGTTCTCCGACTACTACGGCCAACTACTACGACGAAGTACTAAGAAATACTACTTAGTAGTTACTTAGTAGTTAGGTTCTCCGACTACTACGGCTAACTACTATGACGAAGTACTAAGAAATACTACTTAGTAATTACTTAGTAGTTAGGTTCTCCGACTACCGCGACCGACTACTACGACCGACTACTACGACCGACTACTACGATCGACTACTACGACCGACTATAGCGACCGACTATAGCGATAAACGCTACTTAGTAGTTAGTTAGAAGTTAGAGTCTCCGACTACCGTAACCGACTAGAGCGAGAAATACTACTTAGTAGTTACTTAGTAGTTAAATTCTCTAGTAATTACGGGTAAAAATAAGGGGAATACTACTTAGTAGTTACTTAGTAGTTACTTAGTAGTTCGGGTTCCCGCTAGGTACGTATAAATTTCGAGGGTAAGCTATAATAATAGTATCTCTAGTTTAACTAAAGTACTCTATAATAACGCCTTTTTTTACGTAAACGGATAATACGAGGTATTTTAGTAGTACTTTATTACTCTTAGTATATATATTTAGAGATGGTTAGAGTATTATATTATATATATAAGCGATAAAGCGAAGGGTATAGTAAGTATAATAGAACTACGTATTCTTTTTACGTCTTTAAGGCTATATATCGATATAACTTAGCGTAGCTATTACTATTAATTCTAGACTAGTTAAAAGCCTATATTTTAAAGAATCGCTATAGGTGTACGCGCTAACGAATAATAACGTAGTTATAAAGTAATATTAAAGTAAACGATTTAGGGTATAACGGATATACGTAAAGTTAGATCTAAATATACTTAGACGCTTCGTAGAGGGACGATCTAATAATACGACGCTAAAAGGCTTAGCCTAGCTTTAATTAGTATACTATTATGACTAATTGAGGCCCGTGCGAAGCGGCTGACCCGTGAGATAACATTCTTGAGGCTATCGATAAGGCTGTGCATGACTCGACTATGCATGACTCATAGCGTGCATGACTCACGGATCTTGCCCGGAGCGACTCGTGCTGCCTCGTTCGCACTCGCGTCTCGCACTCGCGTCTCGTACTGTCCGCCCGCCTCGATTCTCTTTACCCGTGAGCCCATGTCTTCGCAACCCAAGCTCGGCATCGCTCCACCGACCCTGTTTCGCTCGACTGCGTCCAAGTCCGCAATGACAAGCCATTTAGGGACCCATCACCGCTGCCTACCCGCTTCTAGGCGGCTGGAAACATCCTGTTTGCTCCCCACTGAAACATAAGAGGTTCAAATATGCTTCGGGTGGCTGGCGGGGAGGTGTCCCGGCATCATCCTGATCCCCACAGTCAGCAACCAATTTACCCGGTGGGGAAGCCTGCCGCCGCCTCAGCCCGCATGACGATCACAACGGGCAATTGAGAGCCTTCCTTGAAAAGCATGCAATCTCTCTCGAACGCCGACGAGAGGCATCTTCCCTGCAACAATGGCCCGGAGGCGACTGGCCTCCTTTCTGCTTTCTGCCTCGGTGGCGCCGTTTGCCCTGTGCCTGTCGGGCCAGAACTCGACATACACAAACCCTATCCTACCCGGCTTCCACCCCGACCCCAGCTGCATTCTTGTGGAACAGTGGGATAAGACCTTCTTCTGCGCAAGTTCGAGCTTTTTGGCCTTTCCTGGTATCCCCATCCATGCCAGCAAAGACCTCCGACACTGGACGTTGATTGGCAATGTCCTCAACCGTCCCGACCAACTCCCTGGACTGGCCAATACAAGCAGACAAACGAGTGGAATCTGGGCCCCAACCATCAGATATCACAGCAACACTTTCTATATCGTGACCACCCTGGTTCACGACGATCGAGATGCCTTCGATCCGGCACGCTGGGACAACGTCATATTTTCCTCCAAAGATCCTTACGATGACGCGGCGTGGTCTGATGCTGTCCACTTTGCATTCGAAGGCTACGACACTAGTCCATTCTGGGATGATGATGGCCAAGTCTACATGACTGGCTCACATGCGTACAAGGTGAGGCCTGGGATCGACCAAATGGCCATCAATCTTCACACTGGGGAAACGGGGGAGCCTGTCAACATCTGGAATGGGACCGGAGGATTAGCGCCCGAAGGCCCGCATGTGTACAAGAAGGACGGACTATACTACCTAATGATTGCCGAGGGTGGGACCGGCCTGAACCACATGGAAACAATCGCACGATCCCAATCCGCAAACGGGCCCTACGAAACGTATCAGGCAAATCCTATCTTATCTAATGCGAACACGACCGAATATTTCCAGACTGTTGGCCACGTTGATCTGTTCCAAGATACGGCTGGACGCTGGTGGGGTGTCGCACTTGCCACACGTTCGGGGCCTGGTTTTCTGACGTACCCAATGGGTCGTGAGACTGTACTTTTCCCGGTGACCTGGAACAAGGGGGAATGGCCTGCTCTGTCACAGGCCAGAGGCCAGATTATTGGCTGGCCGTTTCCATCAGCGAACGGCGCCATTGCGGAAGCAGGCCCCCTTATCTCGTCCCCCGACGTTGTCGATTTTGCACCAGGGACGGCCCTTCCTCCGCACTTCTTGCATTGGAGATTTCCTCGTGCAGACGCATATACCATTTCGCCATCCGAGCATGAACACACGCTGAGATTGAAAGCGTCGAGGCTGAATCTGACAGCATATGATGGGCAAAATGCGACTGAGGGCCAGACTTTGCTGGCCAGACGCCAGGTAGACACGCTATTCACTTTTAGCGTAGACATGACTTTTTCTCCGCGGCAGGAGGAAGAGGAAGCGGGAGTGACGGTTTTCCTCACACAGAATCATCACATGGATCTTGGCATTGTATTATTGCCCTCCCAAAATGACTCGGTTGCATCCTCGCCAGCACTGCGGCCACACTTCCGTTTCCGCGCGACGAGCTATGTTGCCGTTCCGGATCCGGTGGTAGTGCCCGTGCCTGAGGGCTGGATGGATCAGACACTCAGGTTAGAGATCAAGGCCGCCAACTTGACACACTACTCCTTTTCCGCCGCGCCCACTGCACATCAGTCGCAGATGATGACGGTTGGGTACGGCGCTGGCAGCGTGGTGAGTTGGGGTTTCACAGGTGAGCGAGTATGACCTGCCGTAGCAAGGCGTGATTAATAACGCGGCTTTAATAGGAACACTAGTTGGCGTCTACGCTACTACCAACGGCGGTAATGGTTCGACGGATGCGTATGTGAGCCGATGGAGGTATCAGGGACAAGGGCAAATCATCGATTGACCGTTGTCTTGTTTGATGCCCTCGTCCCATGTGAATAGCGTTCTTCTCATGTGCGAAGTAGCAAGTAAGACGGGATGTTCAAATAAGCACTTCGCGGCCAATCAGGTTTCAGTCTGGCTTGCGGCCGCTAATAAGGCTTTCAACCACGTTCCATGACAGCAATTCGACAGCTGTCCTTTGTCTCTAAATGGCAGGCAAGCCCATTATTGTCGCAACACACGACGTTCGGGAATAGTGCCAGCATGCCTCTGGCGCAGGTCGCTCATCAGTCGCTCATCAGTCGCTCAGTCGCTCCCCCGCCATCCATGCTCGGATCGACCTGCCGCAAGCGACTAAGCGGCCAAGCCCCACGTCGGCCTCCTCCATCCCCAGCCGACCGTGAATCATCGTATCGGTGTCGGCCGGCGCTATCATCGGCAAAGGGCCCGCCAGCACACGTACACGGCAGATAAAGCAATGATGTCCCGTTGACAGCTCACCGGAACGCCCATCATCTGTTCGACTCGTCATTCAAGAATCCCGCGACGCCGCTTCCGCCCTCCAGCCTTCGCGGGACAGTACCATGTTCCCGCAGATCCTCGCCCTCGCGTGCCTCTCGGCGCTCGTCTACCGCCATCTCCTCCATCCGCTGCTACTGTCCCCGCTGCGCCGCATACCCGCCCCGCACTGGTCGTGCCACGTCTGCCCGCTCTGGATCTACGACCGCCGGCGCCGCGCACGCGAGCTCCGTAGCGTGCACGCCGCACACCAGGCCTTGGGCCCCGTCGTGCGACTCGCGCCCAACGAGGTATCGATCGCCAGCGTCCAGGGCGGGCTGAGTAGGGTGTATGCGGGCGGCTGGGAAAAGGACGGGTGGTATGAGTTCTTTGCGAATTATGGGTGAGTGCCCGTCTGATGCTTTTCTCCTTCGTTTTCGTCTTTGTTTTTCCTCTTGGTTCGTGGCAGGTACGGTCTTGATCATCTTCTTCCGTGTTCCCTACTTTTCACTTTTGGAAAACATGAATTGCACTTGATTTCACGCTGCGTTTTTGAAGCACCTTCTCTCTATCGCGAGGGGAGTCATGCAGCTTGCTCGGATATGCCATTTCACCTGTGACCAAGCACATTGATCCCTTCACACCTTCCCAAGCAACAAAGCATGCCTCTCCAAATCTTTCATCTCAAAAGTTCCACCTTTCTAACACAAGACCCATTTATACAACGCACAGCATCCAGCCGATGTTCGCCACGACGGGGTCTAAGCCGCACTCGACACGAAAGCGCATGCTCAGCAGCATCTACTCAAAGTCCACCATCCAGTCGTCACCGTCCCTGCGTGCCGCCACCGCCGTCATCTTGCACGACCGCCTCCTCCCGTTGCTAGCTTCATTGACCTCCAGCGACGACAACGATGCCGGCAAGTCCTCGGCGCCCACCAGCATCTACCCGCTGATCAGCGGCCTGACCATGGACTTCGTGACGTCGCACATCTTCGGGCTCGCGTCTGGCACCAACTTCACGCAGGACGCCGAGGCGCGAGCGAAATTCCTGCATTGGTACAAGTGCCGCCACGGCTACTCGTTCTGGCCGCAGGAGTTCCCGCGCTTCACGAGCTGGGTGCAGAGGTGGTTGGGGTTGCGGCTAGTGCCTGCGTTCGTCGACCAGGCGAACCGGGACATCGAGAGCATGACGTGGCGCATGTGCGAGAAGGCTGCGGCCGTTTTAGCGAAGGGTGCCGAGGAGAAGACGGGCCTGGCGGCGGCGGCGGCGGCGAAGCCGGAGGCGTACCCTGCCGTGTACAGCCAGCTCTACGCTGCGCTGGAGAAGAGTTTGGCGAAAGAAAAGGGACACGGCGCCGCTAGTTGCGAACTCTCCCAACAGCGTGTGCAGATCGCCTCTGAAGTGCTTGACCATCTCGCTGCCGGATTTGACACTTCGGGAATCACGTTGGTTTACCTCGCTCATGAGCTGTCTCAGCGGCCCGAGCTACAGAAAGCTCTCCGGTCTGAACTTCGCAGCCTGTCCACGCCCATTTTGGCCACGTCCGCGCCCGAGATCCCCAGCGCAAAGGAGCTCGATTCTCTGCCGCTGCTGCAAGCTGTGTTGCAGGAAACCCTACGCCTGCACGCTGCGATTCCTGGAATGCAGCCACGTACGTCGCCGGCCGACGCGTCGATAGGCCCGCCAGGGCATGAGTACGCCGGCTTGCCGGCGAATGTGCGCGTGGCCAGCCAGGCATGGACGCTGCACCGTAATGAAGAGGTCTTTCCGGATGCGGAGCAGTGGAAGCCCGAAAGGTGGTTGGATGGAAGGGGTGGCTTGCTCACTCCAGACAGCGAGGACGGCGGTGAGGGATACCGAGAGATGATGAGATGGTTCTGGGCCTTTGGCAGCGGCGGAAGGATGTGTATTGGCAGTCATTTGGCCATCTACCGTGAGTTTCATATTCCCTCTTGGCGCTCTCTCTGCATTTGATACACATGAAGGAAAGACTGCTGAGTGACCACTGACGACTTGGTCGACGCAGAGATGAAGTTCATCATCGCCGCAATCTATTCGAACTACGAAACTGCTATCGTCAGCGACGAGGGTATCCAGCAGTCTGATGCATATACTGCGCCCCCAGTGTCCGATGAGCCCCTGATAGTAAGCTTCAGGCGTGCAGAGTGACTTGAGGGCGTGAAAGAGCCACGTATACTTCTCTCCACTTAGTAAAAAGCGCACGCGACACTGCAAAGTCGGCCCTTCAATTTTAGAGCGAATCCAGGGAGTTGTTCAACAAACATAGACCACTCTATGCATGTGTTCATGAACAATACGAGGCGAAGCAGAGGCGCGATGGCCGAAAGCAATAAAAAAAATAAATAATTTCGGCGGGATTCGATGGATAGACGAATCTTGGACCAGTCGAAGGGAGATGCGAAACGGCGGATCAACATTGCCGAATCATCAGTACCCCTCGGTGGCTTTTGGGTGGGTTTAGAGACGTGGCAGCTTTCCAAATGACGAATAGGAAGCGTAAAGTGTTCCACAGTCGAGGTCCCAACGCTCGACGTCTTGCCCCTTTTGGGTACCCAGAGAGCGCGCCAGAGGTGCCAAGCGCCAATGCTCAACAGCACACAAAAGGGGTGGGGTGGCATTATTCGCTGTGCACATCAGCTGCCAATGGTGTTGAGCTTGCGCGTGGCCGAAGGCATGGCGGATGAACAGGTGTTCGGCGGAGTAATGCAGAGGTGGGCGAAACGCTCGTCGTTGGCCAACTCCTGAGCTAAAGCTACGAGTGAGCCACAGCGACCTCGTAGCTTGTCATCGGTGCTAGCCGGGGTAAACGGTGTGGCTTGCAGGCTGAGGGCTACCTAGGAGGCAGCAGCTGCAAGTAATTGCGGCCGGCAAGCGGCTCCGATTCGTTGAGGGCGGCGCGCCTTAGTCGCAGCGACGTCGACGGTGGCTGCTAGCTCACATAGGCGCCAGATCCTGGGCGAGCTGGGGTAGCTCCAACCGGGCGAGCTTCAGGCAGTAGTCGATGCTCCCCACAAGTATTGACGGTGGTCGTCGGGGCAGGCGGACCGGTAGCACGGCCAGCGCAAAGGGGGCGATGGGCGCGACTCATGGCTGCTGAGCTAAGGAAGGGCCGGGTCCACGCATGCAGGGCTGGCGATGACAAAGGAATCCAGGGACCTGGACTGCTGCCGCTGATCCCACGGCGTGGCGAGAGGTGCGCCTGGTCAAAGGCGCGGAGGAGACAATGCGGTGAGACTGATTGCGAGGATGAGACAGGGCTGATGTCACTCGCTCAGGTCGCACCGCGCTGGGCGGGGTGCCGGGGGGCGTGTTCCGCTGCCCGCAGCCCGCAGGCCAGGCCTCAGGCAGATTGCGTCGCGGCTGATCGATCTGAGGCTGCTTCTTGCGCAGGTCCGGCCAAAAGAAAGGCGGCGCGGGCTGCAGCAGCGTCCGCTTCTGGGGGCCACGTTTGCGCGCGCATTGCTTTTCGCGCGCCTCGCCAATGCCTGCCGTGCGCAGCGCAAACGGCAGCTCGACGCCCAGCACAGGCCCGGCTCAGGCCCAGCACAGGCCCGGCTCAGGCCCGGCACAGGCCCGGCACAGGCCCAGCACAGGCCCCGGGCTGGCGTCGAGCAGCAGGCCGATCTGCCTGATCGCCCGGGCTTCACAGCGGCTGCAGTGCGACAGGCCGCGACCCTGGTCGACGCAGGCCTCTGAAAGCGCTTGCAGAATTCTATCAGCTTTCCGTGCAGCTGCGTGCGATAGCTCAGATGGCGCGACGCAAGGCGGCCGCCAGGCGGCGGCGGCATGTGAAGCTGAAGCTGGCTCCGCTGCTGCCGGCCCGGAGCCTAGGGCGGCCGCGGGCGAGCTGAGATGAGGCCATCACCAAGAGCTCTCGAATGGCGGGGGCGCATGGGCGTCTAGCGCGCAGCCGCAGCGAACCGGGTCGCCTCTGTCGTCTCCGCGGCGGAGCGCCCCCTGCGGTGGTGGGCTGCGATCCGACAGGGCCAGGATGGCAGAGCGTTGCCGGCTGGCCGCCCCCTGCCCATGGCAACCCGGTGCAAGAGTGTTTGCCGTTGAACCTTCTTTTGCTGCCTACTAGCGCGCGATGTGCAGCGCGCTGTGCAGCGCCAGACACGCCTGGGGCGCGGCCATGCTGATCCGCTCCGCAGTCTCAGGTGGAATGTTACAGGCCCGCGCGCCCACGCCGCCGCGGCGACGACGACGTCCGACGTCCGCTATATTTTCGCAACACGCCCCCGGCCGCTGTCACAGGCCAAGGCGCGCGCTCGCTCGCACGCACGCTCTCGTTCCCTCGCGGCCGCTCTCACCACCTCCCGCCGCGCCTCTAGCACGCCCGCACCCCCCCAGCTCCCCAATCCGGCGTCGACGGCCACCGGCGCTAGCAGCAGCGCGCGCGGGAAGCGCGCCTCCATGCCCGCGAAGGGATGCGCCAGGCCCAGTGGTCCCTTACTTCGCCCTCACATTGCGTTCTCCAGCTGCCCCGGTGCCCCGCTCGCCAGCCCGCAGCTCGCCAGAGCGCGCTGCGGCGGCCGTTGGAGTAGCGCTGCGGACGGGGGCTCGTTGCAGCATCGGCCGCCTTCCGCGCGCCGCCATTCGTGAGCGTGGTGCAGCCCAAGTCTGGTAGCGAAGATATCTTAGCCGGAGATCAGCAGAACCTTGAGCTCGCCGTGGCGCCGACGAGAACGGGCGAGATGAGCCAGTGATCGCCCGCACAGCTGCAGGTGCAATCAGACGCCCAATCCTGACCCCCTCCGTCCGCGCGACACCACCGCGAAGTCGACTCCCCCAACGGTCTCCTCCCCGCCGGGCGCCGCCCGCCACGCTCTGCCCGGTCGGCCTCCGCCTCACGCACCGCCTCGCGGCCTCATCAGAGCAGCGCCGCCGCACGTGGCCGGCGAGCCTTGGTTGAGCGAGCCCGCATCCGTCGTCATCCTCCCTCCCCAGGCCCAAGCTTATCCACGGTTCCGGCGAGCCCAGCGCGGGGTCACCAGGCCCGCCCGCGCGAGCAAGAGAGAAGCTCCCCAGCTGCGGCCGCACGGCTAGATCCGGCAGCCTGACGATTGCCCCTCCGCCCCCAGGAAGCCGCGACCAGAGCGCCGCTAGCAGGCGTGATTGCATAACTCTGTGCCTGTGGTGGGTCTGGCCGTCGTCACTTCTCCCCAGCTCTCCCCTCCGCGACCACGCTTTCTGCCCAGCTCCCGTGGAGCCGCAACCGCTCGTTACTTGTGCGCCGGATGCTTCTTTCCTCCCCGGCCTCGATGCTGAGTGCAAGCTGGCCTCATTACCTCTTCCTACCTACCGTCCCTTTGGATTTTGGCCCGCCTGTTCTCCACCGCACTTTTCGCCAGCCTGCCAAGCGCCCACCCAACCACCCTCCGGCCTGGTTTCTGTTGACCTGAAGAGTCACATAGCGCTTCGCACTGGGCCCTTTTATTACTGCCTTTCCGTTGGTGCCGACCACCCTTCGCCGATAGAAATTCTCAACGGGCCCACCCGCCCTGCCCCGGCTGCTGGAGCCTGCTGGGTTTCCTTTCTTGTTTAAAGAAAAAGCTGTTTATTCCCGCTGGTCGGCTGCTGCACCTCAACCCGCCTTATTTGCTCGGCCGCCCATATCACGGTTGTTCCATCCTGCCAGCATCCGCCGGCTCTCATCGACATCGCACCCAACGTGGCGAGCGCGCCCTTGCTACTCCTCAAGATGCTCCCCACGCACTACGCGCCGCCGGGGGGCTACATGCCTGTGTACATGAGCCACGCCATGTACACGCAACAGCCTCAGCATCAGCACCAGACGGATGTTCGGCCATTGAGCAGGTACGGCGGAGACACGTCGCGGAGTTCGCCATCTCACGACGCCCGACTCCCAGCTGATGATGTACAACTTAGCGCCGATGTCGAACTTGTCATCCGCCAGCAGCCCAAGGAGGCTCTCGTCACAGTCGAGGGCAAGGAAAAGGGTGAGTTTGCCGCGCCGGCTGCCTTGTTCCCATGCGACACCGTGGGCTGACGCGCAGCGAATGCGACAGCTCGGAAACCAGTCGATCCGCCCCCCATCATCCAACTGAAAGTCAAGCAGAACGCCGACCCTCAAGGGTAAGAAGAGGCCCCATGGTCCGTGGAAGCTGACGGGGTACTGATCAAAAGTCCGCACCAGACACTACATGCAGAGTCCGTACTTGATCATGATCGCGGACCTGTGGCACCCTGAAGAAGACGAGGCCAACCCAGAAAAGGCCTTGTCAGGCACCATTTGCTCGTCGCTTCATCGCCTCAAAGACGTTGACAACAAAGGTAAGGATGCCATTTTTGATAGGCACATATGGGAACGCTGTCGGCCTTTCGTCCTCTTCGTCCTAACGCGTGCAAACATTAGATGGCGCGTTCTTCGTATTTGGCGACATTTCTATCAAGCTGCAAGGCGAACATCGGCTCCGCTTCAGCCTCTTCGACATCCACAAGTATGTTACCTTATCGATAGCGACCAAGGACAGTACTGATGGAGTGATCCGATCACAAAGGCCGGGCGCCGTGTATGAATTCGTTACCAGTACCATTTCAAGCAAATTCAAAGGTGGGAAGGAGCAGCACCTGGTGCCATGTATGTTGCAGCTGCTGATTGTTTTCAGTCGTGTCCGCCAAGGATTTCCACGGAATGGACGAGTCCACGTATCTTTCCCGGGCTTTCTCGGACCAGGGGGTCCGACTAAGGCTTCGAAAAGAGCCGAGACACGTGATGGGGTAAGAAGATGACGCTGAAAGGGCTGAGAATCATCACTAACACTTATGAGGAGTCGCAAACGATCGCCGCCCTCACAGTCGTACGAACCGCCACCATCACAGCAGTTTCAACCCCCGACACCCAGCAATCCTTCTGCACTTGCGTACCAAATGACCGGCGCTACGTACCATTCAGGCTATGCCACGCACGGTGACGGCTCGCCCATCAAACGGCCGAGAGTAGAAGAAGATGATTCGCCGCGCTACAACAGTACGAGCCACGTCAGTTCATCGCCCTCTTCGCAACTACCAAATCGACAAGGGAATTTGCCCGTCCAATCTCCGAGCGGGATCAACCTTGGAATAAGCGCTTGGCCAGCAAACAGCATTGGATATGGTAGCAACAGCTACAACAGTTTTGGACGGGGCGCGTCAATGAGCAGCACATCAGGGCCTGTGGAGCTGTCCAGCATGGGCCCACCACTGGGAAGCGCTTCAATGGCACTACGTCCGACATTCTCGACCGCTCACACAAGCAGTATCGGCTTGCCTTCGGTTACCGCAAGGGGCAGCAACATTTTTGCGGGACTCGAGGGCTATGGGGATGACGGGTTGAACCTCGGCTCTTCGTATCATGACCGCTCGGACAGTCTCTCGGGATCGAATAGCCACATTGAATACCCGAACCACGCGACGGATGGCATTCGTGGCATGCCTGTTCAGTCTCCAGAGCACGGCGCGAATTTCCCTCGTACCGACTTCCACTTCCAGCCGCCGAACTTGCAATCTGGCCAGCTTCTGAATCCGTTTGAAGGCAGGACTGGGGCACAGTGGCCAGCCGCTGTACCACAAAGCCGATACGAGGAGCGCGTCAGTCGTGCACGCTCGCACTACCAAGTCAATTCCCTCCACAATCCGATCGGAGGCAACGACGGCCATCACGCGTCGCCGCATCCCAGCACTGGTTTCGACGATCAGTACAAACATGAGGACCATCATTTCAAGTCCGAGGGATCGTAGTGTCATGCTCTGACAAGCATGCCTTAGAGTGTGTTCTCCAGGAATACTGGCCTTTGAATTCGAGCGAGGGTGGCAACTTTGGGCACACTTTTCTCTCCAAAGGCGACGAGCGTCGACCATTCTTATATCTATTGATTTCGGCCCATCCAGGGCTCCTTGGAGTTATGGAATAAAAAGGGCGGGAAATGGCTGCACAGAGGCGTACCATGGTCCCGTTATTAGGGGGCAATCTTTTCTTCGATTCACTTTGCGCGTCGTCCGGTCAGTTCTACCGTGGATTTCTTGCGATCCCTTGTTTCCTTCAAGCTACCTCGCTTTCTACGCTTTTGTGTATCAGGATCACTTCAGGTCCTTCGTTTTGGCCGCAGGACTTCGACGATGCCATTCGAGCTGGGCGCCTGGTTTCTTATTGTAGTTGTCTTCGCACTCCATTCCCCACTTTTGACCGTCCAAAACTGGATTTGCATTGCTGGAGAACCCGCTTTAGCTCATCTTCTAGATCATGCCCCATGGCGGAGTCCGGGTTTTCGCTTGGCTATCTCATTTTCGTTTGCTTTGAGGCGCAACTTGGCACTTGTTTCTTCAACCCACAGTGTGACGCGGGACCAGGTAGAACGATGTGGGGTTCAAAATGGTTGTTTTCATGCATTTACGGCTTGTTGTATGGCCGCAATTTCTTTTTTGGACCGGGCAACTGTATCGTAGGATTCAATAGCTTCAATTGAGACGATAGTAACACTCGATATCCTATGCTCCATGACAGCTTGCTGGCAGATGAATTCTCTGCTTGCAGGACCGGAGCTCTCGGAGTTGGAAGTCAGTTCTCGCAGACACCAAGGATGCATTAGCAAAACACCGGGTTATCGACTCCGGCCACGGCTTACTTTGTGGCTGTTCTAGTGCCTAATGCGGCATTCGCATGTGAAGTCTGGTTTGACCCGTCCCTTGGTCAATGGCCCCCCAAGCAAGACGCCGAAAGCTAAGCACAATCCCGTCAAACGTCGTCTGGTCTCTCGTTCTGAGCGAGTCTTGTGGCCCGGAAGATCAACCTCCCGGTCTCATCGCGAAGAGACGAGAGGATATTGATCATCCAGGTGCGGTCGAGACTTGGGCACACAGTATCACAAAAGACCCACGGTTGCACAGACCCGAAGGTGTACAGATGCGCAAAAGATCTGGACAAGGGCCTTGTACCGCCTAACGTCTCAGGGTGCCGTGTCAGCCTCATCATCCCTCACACGTCTGACCTTCCTAGTCGTGAGTAATTGGCGCCTTCTGGTGAGCATCTTTCAACTGCACACACGCTTCCCTCGTCTTGAGCTTTGGTGTTTGAGAGCATCGAAGCTCTGACCTTGGATTTGAAGCAAGTCCGACCCCCCCTTTCCGAAAGATCATGGTTGCAATATGCATGTACAACCGTCTACCGTCTACCAATGACGGCGCGGCATCTTCTGACGACTCTCATTCCCGAACTCCCAATTTACTCGAGTGATCAATGGGTCCTACACTCAGCGAGTCGAGGCGCCCGGTGATGGCGGAAACAAGAGCGCGTCATTACCCACGCCGGACGACGCCTGCTTACTCAACGACACTTGACTCCATGTTGATATCCACAAACGAAACCAGGACCAACGAGCGAAGACGGGAGAACTCCCTCGCCCCGGCTCAACAAAGCACCGGTGCATCTCAGGATTCGTCTATTCGAGTCACTCTTCACCCCACTTAAGCATAACAACAAAATTTCAGGTTCATCCGTTCTTGACTGCTGGCAGGCGCGTACGACCAAAGGAGACACGTTGCTTCCGAAAAAAGCAAGGCGTGCATGCGGCTTACAGTTCATGCAATTCCCATCGCTAATGGCAAGTGCCTCTGCGCATCCGTGGCATGATCCCTGTCAGAAACACCACACCAGCCCGGCGCTGCCTCTCGCTCCCTGTCGCGTCGTGTCAGGGATTTTTGCAGCGATACGCAAACAGGCAGGATGGAAAGCAGCAGCAGCAACAACAACAACATGCCCACGTGCGTGCCCTTCGCACGGCCCCTTCCCTTGCAAGAAGACCGTTCTCGGCCAGCGTGGGAACCCGGTGTTTTCGGAGCCGATCGCGCTTTCGTCGGTTGCTTTTTGATCAGCGCACGAACACATGCATCTCAGCGGTGTGGAGGTCCTCGAGAGAGCCCTTGGCCGTTCCTCCCCCATCACCATTTGAACTGGGAGACAACACGCCAATGTGGGTGGTTCAGCCTCTTCAGAGAACACGTACTTCTGTTTGCCAGCACTTAGTTGAGGGCCTGCGAAAGTATCGTACACGAGAAAAAGACAAAGAAAAAGATGGGCAAACACAGAAACGGAGAGCAGAGATCGCCGCACATGCATGACTGACATCTACGAGAAGGACCCATGCAGACAAAACCTCTTCGAGCACTGCGCGCCATGCTGACTCGTCATCTCCACAAGAGACAACGATGAGTGCGATAGAAGAGAGTGGCAGAAGGATGAGAATGGCATGAAAGGACTTGAGTGGTGGAAAATAATTTTGGATTAATGGAAATGGATGCGCCCGACACTTTCCAGCATCTTTCATGACTTTTCCTTGCTCTCTTGTGAGGTGGCGTGTTAAAACAGAGAAGCAGAATATGGTATTTCCCTAACGTCCCTCTGAACAGGAGGATCCATCGAAAAGAAACAAAGCCAAAACATAAAGCAACGCGGAGAAACGCCACCCTCATCCTGGACGCAATTACTCATAACATGATTGGGAGAGACGAATGGATTCTTAACCGAGGCAAAACGGAGAAGATGATTGGAAGAAGGTAGGAGGTAGGAAATGATGCTGGCCATCTCACAATCAAGGGTCCTACCAGATGAACAAACGGCGCTAGCGGGCATATCGCTTGCTTGTAACGGCTGCTCAGGATGGCTGACAGGCTCAAGTCCTACGAAAGCCTGCTGACGGCTCAGACATCGGGATCGTCTTCACCGATAGCGTCGATGTCACCGTCGGCATCGAGATCCTCGCCGACTTCAACGAATGAAGGGGCCGACTTGCCCTTTCCTCTGCCCATCTCCTCATCTTCACTCGCAGCCGTTGCACCATCTTCGTCATCTTCGTCATCTTCGATCCGATTCGAAAAGCCATTACTCCGAGTCTTGCCGACTCCCTTCCCCTTGATTACACTCCTTCCGTTGTCCGGCTTTTCCTCGCTCCCATGCCGGCTGTCGTTGGTACTATCAAGCCCGTTGACTACAATCTCTCCGAGCTTGCTTCTTGTGCGGCGGACAGTGGTGGGCATGGAAAGCGGTTTGCCATGTCCCGCGAGTGGTGTCTCCAGCTTACCACCACCGAGCGTTTTGCCACTTCTCGTTGAGCTGCGAACCGGTGTAGCGTTACGCCTGCTGCTGGAAGAGAAGGGCCGTCCGCGCTTCTTCGCAGCCGTGCCGGGGATGGGTGGGAAAACTTCGAAGCGAGTGGGTGGTATGCCGGCAACAGGATTGTTTTTGGCGGGCGTTGAGCCCTGGTGCGACGTGCCGTTGGCCTGTGGGGTCGAAGGGTTCGACTTGATGGACCCGGTAGACTTTGCTTTTGGCGTTTTTGGTCTTTGCGGGCTTTGTGCATCGCCGGTAGAAGCTACGTCGTCCTTGATCTCGAACTCGTCGTTTTGGTTGTCTGATTGATGGCCATTCGTCTCCGGATGTTCGGCAGCCTCTGCCATTTGCACGCCTTCTTCTGGCGCAACCTTTTCGTCGTCCTCGCCCTCGCGCTGTGCAACTGTCTGCAGGGGCGGGCCATCATCGTAATGAGACAGGTTGTTGTGGCCCATCACGTAAGGAGTCCAAACTAGACACTCGGCATTGATCTGGGGGTATTGTTTGGCCTCGAACTTGTCGATATAGTGACGGAAGTAATCGTAATCCAGGCGTAGTGCGTATTTCTTGGTGACGGGATCTCTCACAAGAGCACGCAACCCTTCCAGCGCGGATACAATATCGTCCGCCGTCATGCCTGTCCTTTCCGAGATAGTTGTGATACTGATGGGGCCCCGTTGGTCCATGAGCTGGTAACAAAGGATGAGCCGCCAGTAACTTCGATAGGAAACGAGGCCCATGTCCGAAAGTGGTTTCTCGGGGGAGCCCGTCTTTTTCTCCACTCGCGTGAGCAGGTAAGAAAATTCGATCAGCATATGCCCGAAGCCCTTTCGTTGGTGGATTGGCAGAACCAGGATACAGGACACGTTGTTCAGACTGCTTGGTCGTTTCTCCTTGGAAAAGTATCCGACAAAATGGCACCCATAGTCGTCTGTCTCGGTCATGACGTAGAACAAGAAGGGCTCAACGTCGTAGTACAGCGTCTTGGACCCTAGGAAAAGTTTTGCCAAGAGACAGAGATTCTGGCAGTAGACAGGGTTCTTCCGTCCGTCGACTTCGAAAAACGAAAATCGGCCATCGCGGTAGATTTCGTCCCCTGGTGGGTGTTTTGCAGGACATTTGAGCTTGTGCCTCCAGGCCACGTAGTCGGAGTTCATGTACTTGAGGCAAAACTCGCAAATGTAGAGGACTTTGTTCCGGCTGTACTCCTCTGGATAGGGTGCTGCGTGCCACGTGTCGATTTCGTAGCCCCCAAAGTTGATGCATTTGATTTTGCTCGGCGGTCCCGACACCTTGGAGCTGCGACTGTGATCACTAGCCGTGCCTAGCGGAGCCGTCTTCTTCTTCCAGTCTTCTTCTGCCTTGAGACGTGCATCCTCGAAGCGTTTGCGGTCTGCGCCGCCGGGGAAAGTTTTGCTTGTATCAGCTTCCGCTTCAGACAGAATGCCGCCATAGGGTTTGGACTTCGACTCGTCCATCTCGCGATCCCCAAAGCCGAAGAACTGGGTGAAGTTGTTGTGCAGAGCCGGATAATGAGAGACCTCCGGTTCAGCGGCGGCGGCGGCCGCACGTTCGGCTCGTCTGGCCCGGTCACGAGCTCTCCGCTTCTTCTGTTTCGCTGTGGAACTCAGCACATCCCGCAGTTTGGATGTGTCCAGATTAGTAAATGCCACGATGAGTTGCTTGTTGGTAGATTTGAGGATGATGGCGCCGGGCTGGTCGACTTTCTGAGATGCCGACCTTCTTGGCCGTGTTCGGCGCGATGACCTAATGGCGTTGGGACCCTCATCCTCGTCCGATTCCTTTTCATCGTCGGTTGCCACTGGTTGCGGAGCCACGCGGATTGCGGGCTGCGACGAGGCGTCAGAGTCATCGGCGTCGGGCTCAGAAGGTGTTTGCGTCTGAGATGAGCGCCGTCGCTTTCGAGTCGAACGCACAGGCAGCGGCTGATCCTCAGGCTCTGCCTTGCGTTTGCGAAGCGAGCGAGAGCCATCCATAGGGTCGTCTGGGTGGATCAACGTGTTGAACACAGAGTGCGAGTCAGGCTTGTTGGCGCCGCGGGAAGCGGGCAGCAGGTCTCTGGTAAGCTTCTGAGCAGAAGAACGCCGCCGCACAGGCGGGCGTGGAGTATCTTCTTCCTCGTCGGCCTCGAGGTCATTCTCAACGCAAGCCGTGCAGCGCCAATCCTCGGCATCTAGACAGTGGTGAGCAGGTGCTCGGCGCATTGGGACCGAAGCAGCCCAGGAGTGCGATTGGCTTGGCTTACCTTCATCAATCTTAAGGGAGCTAGCGTGGCGAGCGCATTGCCGATGAGCTGCAGGAACAAACATCAGCATACATTAGATCTTTGGCTGCACCCAAGTGTTTCCAGTGCTCACCGTTGTCCCCGCACACGGCGCACGAGAGGTACTCTTCGAACTCTTCGCTGGGGTCATGCTCCTCGTCCTGACCACAGAACCTGTGTTTCGGAGATCAGCGTCAGATCCACACCTTGTGTGATCGTGGTTATCAGACTTACACGCAGCGATTGGGGTCCACAATCTCCGCATCACCCTCCTCCGCTGTATCACTCTGGTTCTCCCATTCATTTCCGCCCTCCGACTCCGAGTAACTTTCACCATCAGCATCGGCGTCGCTGTCGCTGCGGTTGGACTCGTCCGACGACTCGTCGAGCACGGCTTCCTCGTCGTCTTCTTCGCCCTCGGCGTCAATGTCATCGCCTTCCTGCAGCTTGACTGCCCCGACCGGCTCGCCGGCATCCTCGTCGTCGTCCACCTCCTCGCCTTCGGCGTCAATGTCCTCGCCCTCGGCATCCAGGTCGGAGCCTTCATCCTCCGGCGGGGCCTGGCTCGGCTTCACGAACGGGGCAGGCTGGATCATGTCCACGTCCTCCTCATGCTCGGCATCCACGTCGCTGTCTTCGTCCTCCAAGTTGTTGCCCATGCCTTGGCCTAGCAGCCTGCTTGGCTCGGCGGCCATGGCATACGTTACGACCGAAGCCAGCTTCGAAGCAAAGAAATCCAGGTTTACGTGATGTCCGCAATGAAACTGGCACGCGCGGTTGGGTTAATGTCCCGTCATCCGGTCGCTGGCGGCGCAGTCGTCGCGTAGCGGCCGGTCGCGTTTGCCGTGACCACTGGCTGTCGCTATGCGCCCCGACGCCTCAGCTACGCGGGCAGGTCGCGCATGTAGCTGTATAGAGGCCAGGGACTCGGCGGGAGGCGAGGGCGCGGTGATGCTGTGTGTCGGTAGGGCGGACGTGGTTGATCGGCGGCGGCGGCGGGTGGGCTGCGAATGCCTTCGGCGACGCGTCGGCGCAGGGGCTCTTCGCGGGAGCGAGGATAGCGGTTTCTGCGACTTGTTGGGAAGCAGGAGATCCGGCGACACCAAAACCGTAGCTTTCGCGCGCGAGAAGTGCCGTTGGCGGATGTAATGACCCCTTGGTGTAAGTGTCTTGGAACGGAGAGAGGTGCTGGCTGGGGGTGCACGGACGCGCCAGCCGGCCATTCTGAACCTCCGCTCTTGCCAGTACAGCTGCCATGGGCGCGCATCACCACCGCCGAACGACTGCTCGACCCCCCAAACCCCGCCCGCGCACACTCTCCGCTCGACACTCACCATGCCCGTCCCCTTCGAGGCGCTGCTCCCCTATGGGATCATGCTGGCCGTGCGTCCCCTCCCCGGCCCGCGACACGACCACGACCGCTGACGCAACACCCTAGTTCTTCGGCGCCAGCGGCGCTGGAATGGCCAAGCTCAAGACCCTCCAGAACGGCGGCAACCGCACAAGGCGCTCCCTGGATGCTTGGGATAGGGTGAGTCCACCAGTCTCACGCGATTGCTTCGAGTGGACCCGCTAACGCCCAGCAGCAAAGTACGATTCACTCCCTCTCCTTGTCTGCCCGTGACAGGCCAATGCTGAACGGATATAGTGATGGAGCGCGACCGCAGGTTGACCGGCTACCTCCGAGGCCAAACGGACAAGCCGGAGGCGCCCGATGGCTTCGAGCTGAACAATCCCTGGAAGGTGGGCAGGCTCGTAGCGGAACGCTCGCAGCAAATGCTGACTTTCAACGCAGCTCGAGAAGCGGATTATGTAAACTCAGTACCAATGCGAATCACATTCACCCATTCCATACATGGCAAGTTTGTACGGTCCTATACGATAGAGTACATACAAGTGGTGGTTGCACGTGCTCTCGCAGCCGGGCACCTGCACGTTCAATGGATGCAGTCCTTATTTGATTTCAGTCACCAGCCCTTTGATTGCTGCACGTTCCGGCTTGCTCAGGTTGATACCAAACACCCTGTCCAATGCCGCAACACGGTCTTCCTCATCCTTGAAAGTCTGCTGCGACTCCGTTTTACCGTGGATTCGCAGTTTCAAATCGTCTTGGAGGATCATGACTCCGACCAATTCCGAAGTTTCGGGAGAGTCGATGACCATCTTGGCGCAGATTACCTTTTGCGTGAACCACACCTTGGGACTCGTGCTCGTCCAGTAGTTCATGAGCTCGTAATCCTGGGGCAAGAATTCCAGCTCGGTGAAACAGTACATGTCCAACCAAGGCTGGTCGTTACTGATGCGGTGCTGGTAAACCCACAGTCTCTGATTGGGGTCGGTGTTTCCGTCGACATTCTTCCAGACAAGCCTCATTTCGGCGGGAGAGATCTGGATGGCAGTGGTGTCGCAGGCGTTTCTGTCCAGGCGAAGCGGCTGGGTACAGCCGTTTGGACCGAATCCCACATCAACCAGGTACTTTTCTGGGGATTTGTGGGCCTCATCAGTGGTGACCAGGTTGACCATATGGCTCCTGAGGGGTCGTGCTCGTTAGCGAATCGCGGGGTGCGCGTATGTAAGCAGGACTCACCAGCCGTTGTAGGGTGCATCCGGACCACCTTTGACCCGCGCACCGGCAGAGTAGACGCGGTACCCGAGCGACCGCAGGACGATGTTGTGAACCAGGTTATTCTCCATGCAGTAGCCGCCGCGGCCCTGGGTCAGCACTTGTTTTTGGAACAGCTCATCCGGATCCAGCGAGATATGGCGGTGCGGGGAATAATGCAGGCTGAGGTTCTCGAACGGGATGGTGGAGAGGCTCTGCTTTTGCAGCAAGCCCAGATAGCCAAGCTTTTCCTGCGGGCTCAGCGGTGTAACATCGTACACGCGCAGACTCTCGGGCAAGCTGATGCGGTCGAAATACTGCCGTAGCTGGGTTTTTGTGTAGCGCGTAGCATCGGCCATGGTCCGTCCGTAGCTCGCAGGCCGCGAGGGAATGTTCTTGCCAGAGTCGTACCGCTTAAGCGCGCTCCTCATGAGGGGCAAGCCGGAGCTTTGACAATGACGGAGATGGCGCTCTTCTTTGGCGGACCCCGGAAACTTGTGGAGAATCGGCGCACCAGCGATGGAGATCAGCCCGAGTCGGACGCGGCGCGGGCGAGTGTGTGTGGAGAAGTGCTTGGTGAAGCACGGGGAGAGAGCTACACGGCGTCGAAGTCACAGTCCTTGGACTTTGGGGCCGGCAAGGCGGATGGTGGCGGAGCTGGTGGCGTTTCCGCCGTGGGCATATCGGATGCTTAAGCATGCTAGGTATGTATGTGTGATGTGCAGACCTAGGCAGGCGGAGAGATGGGATATCCTGGTCCGGCACCGTATTCCTCAGCTCGGACGGCGGAAATCGCAGGCTCGGCAGCCGAATGCGCATCGCGTTGCAAAACATGTCGCTCTTGCCGAACACGACTGTCCAGAGATATTGCATTCTACAGTGTTGATGTCTAATATTCAGATCTGCAGCACATCTGCGACCTGAAATCTTGCCTGCTCATCTGCTCGCGGGCCGACATGACATGCTGTCGGGAGCAGATTGTTTCGCCAGACAGTGTGGACGGTGGAACGGGCATGGTTGGACATGGTTGGACATGGTCGGACTGTGTCGGCAAAGCCGCAAAGCGTGGAGGTGGAAGTGGGGCAGGCACTTTGGACTTGCGGCTGATGAGCTGCGGGATGAGCTGCGGCAAGAGCGATACGCCGCACAGCGGTATCCCGCGTCCCGCCAGCCAAACCCCTGAACGCGCGTAAGCAAACGCAGCCAGGGCTTAGCGCAGCACAGTCGAGCGATTCATCTGGAGCCAGCCAACCAGCGTGCACCTGCGCCCCTAAACGTACCGACGCGCGGAGGAGCGAGTGGGTAATCGCCGTGGGCTGTAGATTACCGACCTTATGTAACGCTCGGCGGCTACGCGTCTGACTAGTGAGATAACCGCGCACCCACGCCGGATCAGCACCTTGTGTGCAGCCCCTTAATTGGCGTTGAATAGTTAGAGGTGCGACTGGTGCTGTTGCGCGCACGCGTTGCTGAGCTCCCGGATTCTTTTTCCTTCTGATGCGCTTTCATTCGTTTGCCCGCTGCCTGCCCACGCTCCACTCCTTTCCATGACCCTGCGCCGCACCTCGCCCGTCTAGTGACCACCCTCGAGCACCCGCCGCCGTCCTCGCCTGCTCTCCCTTGACACCTGCTGCCACCGCCCGTCCGCCATGGATCTAGAACCGCCTCGGGCATTAGCGTTTGGGTTCCCTTCTCCGCATGGCCTCTCTCCTGCACTTGACTCACCCGCCATGGGAAGCTCCGTGTATAGCCCCAATCCCGCCGTCCTGCCTCCCCCGCCGCCCGACATCTTGAACGAAAACTACAAGAGTGCCGTCGCCGACGGCTACGCCGACGCCGCAAGCCGCAATGGCAAACCCCGCGCATCGCACGCCCTGGACCCCAACGATGCCGTCGTCATGCACCTGCTGGTCGAGACGGCTGTCGGAGACAGCCTGGGATACGAGGTGCTTTCGTTTGAGGAGCTGGAGACGCTGAAGAAGGAGCGGGCCACGCTGACCGCCAAGATGGAGGCCGTGGGCCAGAAGCTGGCATTGGAGACCAAGATGCGCGACGCCGCCCAGTCGCTCACCCGCCTGGACCCGAGACGCGAGAGCCAGACAAGCAATGGCGACCAATCGGCCAAGAGCGAGGCCGAGTACAGCGCGAGCGCTCAGAAGTGCGACGAGCTGGCGCGCGAGCTGTGGGGACTGGAGCGGAGGTCACGGCAGATTGAGAACCAGTTGCTGAGACACACGGCCGGCATCCTGCAGATGACGCACAAGGGCCCGACCAAGCGCACAAGGAGTAGGCAGTCTCTGGCGAACGGCGCCCCTCAGGCCCGCCCCGATAGCCCTGCAAGCAGCCTCACCTACGAGAACTCGGGTGCCAGAAGCCCTGTTCGCTACGACGACAAGGATACTTTCGACGACCGAAGCCTCTATAGATCCCCGGAAAACCTGGACAAAATGGTGGACGCGCTCAAGCACGGAAAGGCCTTGACCGCCCGCTCGAATCCCGTCGGCAATGACGACTCGCCAATGACTAATGACACGTTACAATCTGTGGACAAGCGACTGGAGGATCTCAACGACCGGCTGCGCCAGCTGATCATCCAGGCCAATCCCGACGCGAACAAGGAATACGATGCAGGCCCGAAGGGCCAGGGTGACGATGGTGCCGCTCAAAAGGCCGCCAACATTGAGGAGAAGCTGGATTACTTGGACCAGGCGCTGCGCGATATTGAAGCTGAGCAGAGCAACATGCTTTCCAAGGGCTCAATGCCCTCAGGCATGGGAGAACGTCTGGAGAACATCAACCACCAGCTCTTCCAGCTTGTCAGCCGGGCGCCGAGAGAAAACAGCGAGGAATTCCCCCCGCCTCCTCAAGAAGGCACCGAAAACCAGCTCCAATACGTCGACGATGCCATTTACACAATCGAGCAATCACAGCAGGAACTTCTCTCGCAACTCGAGCAGGCTCGCAACGCCGACACGTCAGAACTCACCGCCTACTGGAAAGAGCAGGCGACAGACTACGAGAAGGTGTGCGAGAGCCTTTGGGACCTCATCCGTACCGCCCACGAGGATGAGCGCCAGCGGAAGCTGCAGCGCAGGAGGGTCCTCGAGCAGGAACCGGACGCCGAGGCGGAGATGGCCGAATTGTCGCCCGACGAAGACCCCATGCCGGAAGAATTCACGCTCACCCGCTTCCGGAACCACATCGAGGACATGTATCGCAGAGCATCTGGCATGAAAGAGAAACAGTCCATCCTCCGCCGCCAGATCAAGCAGCAGCGCGAGCTGAACGAAAAATCCGACGCCGAGAGGGAGGAGGAGGTCATGCGCCTGCGCGGCGAAATCGACAGGCTCCGCAACCAACTTCACGCCAGCTCCGGCGATTCCGGCGCCCTGCAGGGTGCCGAAGAACGCATCTCGGAGCTCGAGGCCGCCCTATCCGAGGCCCGCGACGAAGCGGCCAAGGCCGCAGAGCTCACCCAAAACCTCGAGGCGTCCAAGGCCAGCGAGGCCGAGGCGGCTCGTAGCGTCGAACAGAAGGAGGAAGAGCTCGCCAAGACGGACAAGGAGCTGCGGGAGTTGGAGAGCGAAGTGGTGCGGCTGCAGACGGAGCTCACGATGGCGAAGGCGGAACTCGACGGCGCCTACGGCTCGCGGGCCCAGCGCGCTGCCGACATCGCGTCGAACCCGGAGATCAAGCGCGAGCTGGAAGAGCTGGGCCGGATCAACGCGGAGCTCACGGTGCAGGTGGCGCAGCTCACGGAACAGCACGCCGCGGCGTCGCGCTCGGCCAAGGACGTGGCGGAGCGCGAGCGGATGCTGCGCGAGGAGCTCCGCGACACCATCACCGAGTTCGAGGAGATGACCAAGGCCAACGTCGAGAGCGAGAAGGAGCGCGAGGGCCTCGAGGGCGTCATCGACACCCTCCGGGAGAAGATCGAGGCGCTCGACGCGCAGCTTTCCGACGAGAAGATGCGCTGGCTCGGCATCAAGAGCCCGGCCGGCGTGCCCACGCCCGGCGCTTCTGGCGCCCCGCCCGGCGTCGTCCTGGCCGAGACCACCAGCACCAAGGTGATGCGCGAGGAGTTCAGGAAGATGATGAGAGAATCGAGAGCGGAGGCCATCAGGGCCCTGAGGGTAAGTTGAACAGCTCCCAAACCCAGTTGCGATCAACAGCTGACCACATCCTCCCCATCAACAGGCCGAACAAGACGAACGAAAAAGGCTAGAACAGATCATCAGGCATCTGAAGAAGGAGCAGCTTCCTCCTCCCAAGTCGCCCAAGCCGGCGCTGAATCGAAGCATGACCGCGGCTTAAAAAAGGAAAAAAAGGACTACCGTTTACAGCATAATATAATACCCGCCGCATGCCATGTACCAAAACCTCACGATCACCCAAAGCAACGGGGACTACGAAACTACTTTGTTGTTGCCCGCAGGGCTCTCCGGACTGTACCACCAACCATTTTAACATCTTGACGGTAGTATCATCGTGGTATATCTCCTTTCCAATAATCCCCATCAGAAAGAGCAGCAGCAGCAGCAGCAGCAGCAGCAGCTACCATAACTTTTTTGCATACAGAGGAAAGGCGTATCGGGCGTTTTATCTCTAGCTGTTGTCTCTCCGGGGAAGTGTTATTCTGCTTTTCCTTTTCTTTTGGGGGGCCTCGTTCCTACCACGCTTTAGCTTCCGTTCCCGCTTCATTGGTGGGAATTTTTCTCCTTCTTAGAGACCGGTCGATGTCTCTCCCCTTGACCGGCCGTCTCTTCATTCAAAGCGGGCTGAGTTCTGTTTTTTGTCTGGCGCTTTTGCCTTCTTCAGCTTGCTGCTCCACATCAAACTACCCCGCCGCCTACGCGGATGCCGATGTGCAAGAGTAGTAGGCGATTGTATACCCCTAGCGCTCGTCGCGAGCGCTGGCATTGTAGCATCATTTGTGTTTTGTTTAGCTTCTTTTCCGTTCTTCAAACCAGTTTACGTATGAGAGGAAGAAAAAAGTCGTTGCATCATATCATACTTTTCGAACTATATCGGTATCCTATCCTACCCTCCGTCTCTCCGTCAGACCAATTGAATTGGAACCAGTACGTAGGAGTCCGTTCCACAAGAAAAAAAAAAGTCTTCCTATCGGCTGCTCTGTATATTTATGTACTCTTTATCGTTTTTGTGCTTTACAAAAAGTCATTATCCGTCATATGCTGAGTAAGAGTTCTCCGACTCTGCCGCCGTTTTATGCCAAAAAAAAAAGAACCAACGTTCTGGAAGAGGAAGAAGAAGAAAGGAAGCGTCCACGCATCGATCAAAACATGGCATCAGCCGGCTGTGCCTTCGCCGCCGCAGCCGCGATCCACCTCGCCATGACGGCAGCGGAGCTGACGGCCGACGGCGCCGCGGCCGCGGCCGTCGTGCTCGTCGCAGTGGTCGTCGCGATCGAGGTCGTCGTCGACGTCGACGTCGAAGACACGGTCGAGGTGAGCATCGTCGTCGGCGTAGCCTGCACGGGGAGAGGCGTCGTCGTCGTCGAAGAAATGACGGCGGCAGCTGCCACGCTGCTGCTAGATTCTCCCGCCGCCGCCGCCTGCTTCCCCGGCGCCACGACCAGCAGGGCCTGCATGACCTCCATGGCGGCCAGCTGGGGGCCGACGCCGGCCTTGCCGTCGTAGCTGCCCGTGTCCCAGCGGTAGCCGCAGCTGGTGCCGTCGGCCTCGCCCGAGCAGGCGGCGGCGGCGCCCAGGGCCGAGGCGCGCAGCAGCGGCAGGGCGGTGCCGTTGTCGACGTCGGGGGCGAGGACGCTGGTCTTTGCGAGCCAGCGGGCGAGGTAGGCCTTGAAGGAGAGCTGGTCCGTGTTGCACGAGTCGAGGGGCTCGCAGGCGGCCTCGTAGGCCACGTCGGAGGCGTTGCCGGCGGGCGGGGAGAAGAAGCGGCGGGCGGCGTTGTCGAGGAGGCCCCGGGTGCGGGCGTCCCACGGGGCGGCGCCGTCGGTGCCGTTGTACATGGCGGCGGCGCCGTAGAGGTACATGGCGACGTTGTAGCTCCACTGCGTCTTGTCGAACTGGGTGCAGTTCTGGTCGACGCCGGCGCCGTCGTAGACGTCGTACGTCTGGGCGTTGACGGCGCCGACGCCGACGCTCCAGTCCCACACCTTGGTCGCCCAGTCGGAGTAGGTGGCGTTGCCCGTGTAGCGGTGGAGGCGGGCGGCCAGCTGGAAGAGGCCGCCGTTGGAGACCGAGTTCTTGTACGTGTAGCCGTTGTTGGTGGCGTACACCTGCCAGCGCAGGCCGCCGTTGCACGTCGCCATGTCCCAGCGCGCGACCTGCGTGTTGAACGTGTTGACGGCCAGGTCGAGCCAGGCCGACGGCGGGTTGGTGACGGCGGCGGCGCTGGCGGCGCTGGGCTCGGGGAAGCCCTGCTCCGCCGCCGACATGGCCGTCAGCGCCCAGAAGACTTGGTCGTCGTTGCCCAGCTCCTTCTCCCACTCGACGTTCATGAAGTCGTTGGCGGGGCCCTTCTGGGCGAGCAGGGCCTGGGTGACGGTGGCGACGTAGCTGGCGTCGCCCGTGTAGGCCCAGTAGTCGACCAGCCCGCCCCACACGGCGCCGGCCTCCCACCAGTAGATGGGCTTGGCGAAGGTGCCGACCTCGATGGGCGTGGTGCCCGAGGCGTTGTTGACGTAGAGTTTCATGAGGTCGTTGGCGGCGATGGCGGCGCCGGCCTTGATGGAAGCTTCGTCGTCGACCGAGAGCGAGATGCCGGCATGGATGGAGGGAATGAAGGCAAGGGTGGCGGTCGCTGCCGTCAAGGCGCGCTGCCAGATGTTGGTGTTCGTCATGTTCGTTCGGTTTTTCTTTTTCTCTAAATGTCGACTGGTTGGATATCCAAGAAAGAGTGTAGCAGAAAAAAGTCGAGCGTGCAGAAGTACAGAAGGGAAGAAGTTGGAAAGGAAGAAGTGAAAGGGCAGTCTGGACCAGACAGACAGCGAAAGGGAAGTGAATGGGCAATTATCCGGTCACCAGCGGAGAAGGAAGGAGCGGAGAGGAAGTAAGATTTTGAAGACAATAGCAGGCGCCATGGCAGCTTTAGGCTGTGCCTTACAGGAGAAAGTGCGGGCGCGGAGGCGAGGCGCAGCCGCCGGGCGGCCTCGTCCAGGAAAATGGGCCGACTGGAATTCCATGTCTGGCTAAGAGAAGGAGCACCAGAAGAGGCGAGGCAGGCGTGAAGACCGCGGTCGCCGGGGACGATTGGCGGGAGGCTGCGCGCGCGTGAAACTTGAAACCGCGACGGGTGGCCAATGGCGAGCGGCGGCGGTGCGCAACGGCTGATTGTGAAACACGCGGCCGACGAAACGGCTGCGTTTTGCCTTCTGCTTGCCCGCGTGCCGCCGCCCCGCAGCCCTGCTACGCCGCGCAAAGGGGAAGGTCGCCCTGTCGGTCGCTGCTGGTTGCAGCTGTCACGGCGCCTGTGGAGCCGCGGTCTTCTGTCCTGCTTCCCCATACGCCGTCGATCCTCCGGCTATTAAAACAAGCTCCGTCCAGCTGCCTGGCGGGGGAAGAGCGGTGTCTGATCAGCCCAGGTCTTTTCGTCGACTCGTTCTGTCATCTCCGTCTTTGTCACGCAAAGCCATCGCAGTTTCGGCCCGCATCATCACTACCTAGTAGAACGGCGACCCCGACGAGTCTCACACGGACTTATTACTTATTGCTCGGCCTCATCCGAAGCGCGCCGTCCCGCAGGAGCCGAAGCAGCACGGTGTGGAACAACACAAATCGCCTCTGTCCAAACGGATACGCTTATTCGGACAGCCGCCAGCCTTGGAGGACGGGAAGGAAGACATTGACTCACATGGGTGGCAAGCCTGCTCGCTACCATGATTATTCATTTGACAGAGCACAGTGTCAGGTCAACGCATGAAAGAAAAAAGCATCCAATTGTTCATGGCAAAAAACATAAAAGGAAGAGTCATAGCCCCTTCATGCCAGTCTAAGCGCTCCCGCTTGCCCATCTCATCGGACCTCTTTCGTCCCTGCGTGCTCGTGATGCGACTGCACGTCCTCGGAAAGTCCCTTCTCGATGGGCGCGACCACTTCTTCGTTCGAGCTCGTGCCCGTCTCCAGACCCCTCATGCCCATCATCTTCTCCTTCCGGATGCGCTTGCTGGTCTTGATCGGGCTCTGGCCGCGTGTCGTGTACAGCTCGTCCATCTCCTCGAGCGAGAGCATCGCCGTCTCTGGGTAGCAGAAGTAGACGAGCGGGACGAAAAGGAGGTTGGTGACCATGAAGATGAGGTATGCCTTCCACTGCAGCCGGTTGATGATGATGGGCGTGATCATGACGATGACGAAGTTCCAGAGCCAGTTGGACGAGATGCCAATTGCAGTACCGCGAGCTCGGGCTCTCAGAGGCAAGATTTCTGTGAACAAGGTGGTTAGTGCCTGTGTTGTTGTCCACGATGGCTTTGCGACTCACCAGGGACGTAGACCCAAGGAATGCAGTTGACGCTGGCGCCGAAGATGAACATGTAGATGAAGAAGAAAGCCACGCTCGCGGATGCGGTGGGCTCCCCAATGCTGGAGTTCTTGAAGCTCAGCAGGATCGAGATCATCATCATGCAGATGCCCAAGCCAAAGGATCCCCATATCATGGGCCGGCGACGACCCAGCTTGTCGGCACCCAAGGCCGGGATGATTGATCCCAGCGGAAACATGATTTGGATGCTGCAGAACCTGGTCAGTACATCTTCATTCCCTAGACGGATTCACGGGTACGACGTACACTCCACCGAGAAGCAAAGACATGTTACGGGTCATGCCAACGTTCTCCTGCAGCACGGTAGGGACATAGTAGCTGTCTTCAGGTCAGCGTCTGGATCGGAAGCAACACTTGGTCGAAGCACTCACACGACAAGGTTGATACCGCCAACCTGGTTCATGAACTGCATGCCATATGCAAGCAGCACGCGCTTGCCGGTCTGTACTTCGTCCTGCTGGAAGATGTGCAGCCAGCTCTTCTGAGCCTCACCCTCGAGTGAAAGCGCATGCAGGATCTCTGCCTTTGTCTTTTTGATGGCTTGGTGATCAGGCTCCTGATCGAAGACGTCACAGAGCACCTTGACGGCGTCGTCGTGTCTGCCTTTGTTGAACAGATCACGGGGGGAGTCCGGGAGACCGAAAACGAGGACGACGACGACGATGGCAAAGATGACCTGGCAAGCAATGGGCAATCTCCACGCGAGTTCGCCACCGACAAAGTTGAGGCCGTAGTCGAACCAGTATGCTGATGGACGGGCTAAGTAAGCAACAGTGTGATCCAAGGTGGGATCGATCTCCGCTTACCGATGACGATACCAACGCCGACGAACAGGGGCTCACTGCAGACAAGACGGCCTCTGTTGTGGGCCTGAGAAAGTTCTGCTTGGTACCTGGAAGGCGTCAGTCATGGCTAAGCCATGCACGACGAGACTGGTCTGCTCACATTGGAACGGTCGAGGTCTCCATGCCCGTGCCAATTCCGGTGATGAAGCGAGCAGCAACCATGTGTCCTCTCGAGTATGCCGATGCTTGAAGGGCGCCGCCAACCTGGAGGGCGTTTAGCAGAGTGGGGGGGCGGTGAAAGAAGCATGCAGCTCACAATGATCCATGCCATGGCCATCCACATGGCCCTGCGGCGACCCAGCTTTTCTCCAAAACAGAAGGCGGCAATGCAGCCGGTAAAGCATCCGAGATTGTACACGGCAACGATGATGCCCAGTATGGTGTCGTCCGGGTGGCCAACAACGTCCAGGAAGTGCTCGTTGCCAACAATGCCGCTGAAGACGCCCTGGTCATAGCCTGTCGGGCCGTGAGAAAAGGATGGGGCGAGATGGAGGGGCTCAAGCCTGTGACATACCAAACAAGATGAAGGCCATGGAGCAAGCGGCCGTGATGGCCAGCTGCAGCTTCCAGCCGCGTCCGAACATGTCGATTTGCACCATGATGAAGACTTGTCCTCCAGTATCACTCACGACAACGAAAGGGTGCAGAGGAGAGAAGGGATGGCCGAGGCAAGGGTCACGGGCAGACTATATAGCGACGGTAGTACGAGTGCTGCAGGCTCATGGGAACGTCACTCGCGCGAGAATAGGCCGACGCGTAGGCTCTTCCCGGCCGGCATCCAGAGCTCGCGCGGTGCCTGTGCGCTTGCGGGGAATATAAGCGCCGTGAGCACCTGGATACAGCCGTAGCAGGGAAGCGCAAGCGTCAGCGTCCAGCAGGCGGCCGGGTTCGCGGCGAGCAGGGCGTTCGCAACGCGACGATCCCTTGCACCGACAACGTCCCGAAGGCCGGCGCAGGTGCCGAGGCGGCGTCGCCTTGGGTTGGAAGCAGGCATGACGCCGGATGGGCGGTGGTCGGGCAGGCCATTTAGGCAGAATTGGGCATCGGCAAGCGGTAGGAGCGCCGGCACTCGCGCGAGACGGGGGGGATCTGCGCCGTGACTGCGGGGCGCCGCAGCGTGGGCACGCGGCTCATGAGTGTTTGTGGGGTGAGACGCAAAACTTGGTCGCGGAGTGTGGAGTGCGGAGACGGGTAGCGCGCCCTCCCAATACGGAAATCGGAGCCTCCGCTGCCGCATTGGGTCCCGTCGCCCCCAAGTCCCGGGATGCCTGACCCAGCCTAGGCCGGCTGCTGAAGAGGCAGCGGTCAGGTTCCTCGATCCCACGCAAGTGCCGCTGCCATCAGCTGGCGCTAAATTCACCGCAGTCCCCACCATCGTCAACTTCCTTGGTTTCACTCATTACGAATTCCGGTTTTGCTGCTGTCTACTTAACTGTGCAGCCCCCGCTCTACGGCTGCTCCGACGCGTCTATCCGCTCAGGGAACGCCATCTTCCAGCTACGCACCCCCCGATCCGCCTTGCGAGGCTTCGACAAGTCATCCGGCATGAGGCTCGACGTCACCGAGCAGGTCCCAGGTGCTGACAGCTCCGGTAGCATGTACAGGAAGTTCTCTCCTCGTGGCCGCTCATCCAGCCTCAGCTCGATCCCCGCCCAGATCAGTCTGCTCGGAAGGAAGTCCAGCTTGTCGTGCATGAAGTGGAACGCCGTGTCGTCCACGAGAAGCTCCAACAGCTTGAGCCGAGGAAACTCCTCGCGGTAGTTTTCCACGAGATCAGACAGGAAGGCCGACAGGGTGAGCCAATGCTCCTTGAAGCAGTTCAGCCGCAGCGTCTCGATCGAGCTGGGCAGAGCCTCCAGTGGCGCCCACCGCGACCCTCCCAATGCAATGAACGAGGCAAATGATACCGTGAGGCTTTTCAGCCTACCGAAGCAATTCAGGCGAAACTTCTCCGTCAAGACGTGCTGGCTGCGGTCTCCTTCGATGTCCAGCGTCTCCAAACAGTCTCGATGCTGAAGCAGCGCCTCGTACAAACGGTCCATGTCTATTGCCTCGCACTTCCACTGGCGTTGGTTCAGCAGATTGCGGCCGATGGCGTAGTTGAAGCGCTTGAGCGCTCTGCAAGACGCCATCAGCCCTTTGATGAACTCGTCGCCCACCACACAGGGGCCGATGGTCAACGTCTCAACGTTGGAGATGGCTTGGGGCCAGTCAGACGCGTCCTCGTCCGAAGCCTCCGGCGTCCACAGCTCAAGATTGCGCAGGGAAGGAATGCCGAGGAAATCCTGCACAGCGAGCATCTGAAAGTAGCCTTCCGTGACCATGACAAGGCTTCTCAATTTCGACAGCGGTGAGACGTGTCCTTCTGCGGGGGGTGTCTGGACTATCCACCTGGCAAGCCGATGCGTCCAGCCGTAGAAGGTCCCAAAGCTCTTGTCTATCTCAAACTTCAGCTCCTCCACGTTCGGTGTCCGGGCCAGGAGAAGTGCCGCTTCGGATTCGTAGCGTCCTCGCGCCAAGTCCACCAGCCACCTCTCCTTGGAAAGAATATCGTCCACCTCTGCAGCAGCGGCGAAAATGTCGGCAAAGTCTCCACAGTCGTGAGGTTGCACGGCGTAGATATTGTCCTCGAGTCTGACCACCATCTGGCGCACACGCGCTGCATGGTCCGGACTTTGGAAGATCCTGCGCAAGAAGTGTCGACGAGAAAGCGAATCGTAGTCGGCGTACCACGAGTACAGCAGCGGCTCTGCAATACGGCAGAATCTTTTCGACACCAGGCATATGCTCCACAGCGTGCGCGTCTTCCGCATCTGCCTGGTCTTGTCGATAGGAAGATGCTCCGGGTAACAGATGTTTGAGAGCTTGAAGAGTTCCTCAATCAGCTCATCTGGTAGGTCATTGATGCTGGTCTTGTCCTCGGCCTGAGTCTCCTGGGTATCCCCGGGCTTGCCGCGTTTGCTTTGCGATTTGGGGCAAGGAGAGTCCGGTCGCCGCTTGAGGTTCGACCGGCTAATCCGCTTCTCCATGGCTGCGATGTCGGACGTCCAGGTGGTGGCGCGGGTCTAGCGGTGACGAAAGCTTGACAATTGGCGGCGGCGAGGGGTGGGTGTAAACTTGACGTAATGCGTAGGAATGTAACGCTTTGTCAAGAAAACTCATCCCGGCATCTGCACGTGCGGCGTCAGACGGGTGGGTTGGAGGCGTTGAGATTCGAAAACGAGGATGGTGGAAGGAGCGAGTCGAGGGTCCTAAGTAAGCCGGGAACGGCACGGTCGCGTCGAAGGCACGGACGGGCTTATCACCAAATCACGTGCAGTAGCGGCCAAGGAGAAACTATCAGCCTCCCCGTCAGCTCCTTAGGTCCTGCGTCCAGCCCCGACGGCCGCTTCCTCTTCAACTGTCTCCCACCTATCGTTGTGACAGCCAGCACCGCGGCGCCTAAAATGCGCCCCACAAGTACGTACACGCTGTACAGACTCCCGAACACACCACCAGTCTTTGTGCGCCACGCGATGATTGCATGCAGCTCAATTTCCAATCCTCACGCGATTCGAGCGATCGGAAGTGGTGCTCCCTCCGCTCTCGGTCTTTTTTTTTTGGACTGCTTTTGACTTCGTTACTGGTTACCGTCTCCACTATACTGGTTTCCTCAGGTTTGGCTCAGTTCAGTACTGCGCAAACTCCCAACCACACCTGCCTTTCTACACGCACATGTTCAAAAGTCATAATCCCGCGTTTGGTCCTCTGTAACTTAAGTTGGGTTTGTTTTTATTTTCTTTTCTCGTCAGAAGCACCAATGATATTCCAGGAAACCATGCTGCCTAGAGAATAGCCATTTGCCAGAAAGCGCAACTGTAGGTGCGGCAGTGGCGGTGCGGGAAGCTGGGGATGAGCCGAGGTTGGTGCCAATAAGCTTCCTGATCGCCCGCACTATACCCCGGATTTTGCTTCCTTCAGGCAGCAGGATCGGATCAGGGTCTATTTACGGCCGTAGTGCCTCGCCAAATTGCTGCTCCGAGCCTGCCGGCCATATGTGCCACTAGCCTTCAGACGAGCAAGCCTGAGGGGTGATCCCATGGCGACCGAGGCACCGTGGGCTGCCCAAATCCATCACATGTTCTACTTCCGTGGGCTGAGGATATACAAAGCAATCAACTACTGCTGTCGCTTCGAGTCCAATTTTCACACTTGCAGCCACACGCAATGGCCGTTGATCTACCGCTTCCAGCCAAGCTTGTCCTGCTTTCAGTGCCAGAAGCCCTTCTGGTCAAACACTTCGTTCCTGATCAGGATCTCCGCGTCCCGATCACGCCGATTGTTCTGCTTTTGGCCGCCATCAACTTCTGCGTATGGGCTTTTTATAGGGTGCTGATATATCCATTCTTCGTCAGCCCCTTCAGGCATCTCCCCGGACCGGTGGTAAGACTGCTTTGCTACTCCATTCTCGCGTGCCTCCTGACTTAGGCAGCCCAAATACCCCATCATCGCCAATGGCCCAGTCGTCATGGCCAGGCCCCCAGGCGGCGAGTTCCTCAACTGGGTCAAGACCATCCCCAACGACGGCCTCATCCGCTTCCGCGGCTTTTTCAACGTCGACCGCATCATCCCGACGCATCCGCGCACCATCGCCGACGTGCTCGTGCACAACAGCTACGACTTCGAGAAGCCCGCGAGGCTGCGCAGTTTCCTGCGCCGCATCCTCGGCGACGGGCTGATCATGGTCGAGGGTGACGAGCACCGGTTCCAGCGCAAGAACATCATGCCCTCCTTCAGCTTCCGCCACGTCAAAGACCTGTACCCCGTCTTCTGGGCCAAGGCCGTCGCCCTGACCGACGCCGTGGCCGCCGAAGCGCAGGACGATCCCGTCGTGGAGATCAACCACTGGTCAACCAAGGTGACGCTCGACATCATCGGCCTGGCCGCGCTGGGCCGGGACTTCCACGCGCTCAAGAAGTCCGACGACCCGCTCGTGGCCACGTATGAGGAGGTGCTCGAGCCCACGCGGGAGAAGACCGCCTTCTTCGCCCTCCACATGCTGGGTCTGGAGCGGGTCGTCAGGATACTGCCGTGGCGGATCAACGAGGTGATGCGCGACACGACCACCCAGCTGAAGCAGATCTGTCAGCAGCTCCTGGCCGACAAGAAAGCGGCCTCCAAAACCGAGGGCGAGGAGCAGCCGAAGGACATCCTGTCGGTGATGATGCGGTCGAACCTCTTCGGCGACGACATGCTGATCGACCAACTCCTGACCTTCCTCGCCGCCGGGTAAGTAAGCTCCCTGTCTTCAAGAAGAAACCACAAAACCAAGACTTACCAACCAACACGCCCACAGCCACGAAACCACCTCCTCAGCCTTCACCTGGGCCTGCTACCTCCTCGCCGTGCACCCAGCCGCGCAATCCCGCCTCCGCGCCGAAGTCCTGCAAGCCAACCTCTCCTCCTCCTCCTCCCCCGATCATCTACCGTCATCGTCGTCGTCGCTGGCCGACAAGCTCGAGGCCGGCATGCCCTACCTCAACGGCGTCTGCAACGAGACGACGCGCCTCTACCCCACCGTCCCCGTCACGCTGCGCGACGCGGTGCGCGACACGCGCGTCGGCGGCCAGCGCGTGCCGCGCGGCACGCAGGTGCTGCTCTCGCCGTGGGCCGTCAACCGGTCGCCCGCGCTGTGGGGCGCCGATGCCGAAAGCTTCAGGCCGGAGCGCTGGATCGACGACGACGAGGATGACGATGACGACGAGGCCGATCCCCCACTGGAGACGGGTGGTGGTGGCGGCGGCGGCGGCGGTCGTGGTCGTGGTCGTGGCGGTGGTCGTGGGCCTCGCACGAACAATCACGGCGGCGCGTCCAGCAATTACTGCCTGCTGACCTTCCTGCACGGGCCGCGCAGCTGCATCGGGCAGAGGTTCGCGCAGGCGGAGCTGAGGGCGTTGGTGGCGGCGTTTGTGGGCCGGTTCGAGTGGACGCTGGCCATGGATGAGAGGGACGTCGTGCCCGCGGGCGTGGTGACGACGAAGCCCATGAACGGGATGAGGTTGCGTGTGCGGGGATACAAGGCTTGAGGCGCCGGTGATGTCGATGGTCTGCTCCTGCTGGAGAGGAGAGGAGGAGGCGCAATCTTTGTTGGTGCACGCACGATGGCCTTTCTTTTCTTTTTTCTTTTCCTGGTCAGGATCTGTGTTGGACTTCCATTGCGAGACGAAACCATCCTTTGAGGGTATTTGATCTGACGTAGCTACATACCATGGGAAATTAAACTTATGATCTTATTAAAGTCGCTTCGTATTGCAACCCATCTATGAGTCCTCGTACTTCTGGACTCTATCTGTCTCTTGGACTTTGCTCATGTATCGCCCTTCCTTCTCTGCTTGTACCACAAACGCTTCCGGCTCGCTAGAAATGCTGTCTCTCAACAAAGACACTCAAGATTCTACGCTGAACGCAAGACTTCCAACCCAGGTCTACATCGGGTATCTTTCCATACGCCTCTCGCATGTAATGATTCTTCCTCCACTGATACAGGCTCACCAAGTCGGTTTCCTTACTGTGAGTGTCTAATCATCGCTACCGTCGTCCTTGCCGCCTTTCTTGTCGCCGCCGTTCTCCTTCTTCCTCCGGTCCTTGCGCAAGGCTTCGACGACCTTCTGGTATTTCTCGTCCGCTAGCTCGTCCCACTCGACATCTTTCATGTGTCAGCAGGATCCATTTCAAAGCACAAAAACACTGGACAAGAGCGTCTTACCGTATTCGTCGGCGATCAGCTTGATCTCCTTACGGAGAGCATTGGCGTCGTCGATGAAAGTTTGCCACTTCTCCAGTTCAAAGCCACGCTCGTTGTACAGTTTGTTTTGGCGACGTGAGACCGTGATGTTCATGGCTGATCGGTAAGAAGCCTCGCGGTTGTGGTAGAGGAACCAGACATAACCACCGATCAAAGTGCTGAGTCCGACAAGATACTAAGAGGTATACGTTAGTGTTGGGTTGTTTTAGCATCAGAACTTGCACCAACTCACAGTCACTGGCTCCATGGTATCCCAGCCCAGATCGGTATCAAACGTGAGCTTGTAGACAGTTCCCCACCATGCGACCACAAGACCCAGTCCACCAAGTGCGACACGCTGCGCTCCCTTGTGTGCGAGGTAGTCGCACTCCTTCTTGATGTCTGCTAGGTGTGCGAGCTTTTTGCTTGTCGACCGAAGCCGCATGCGCAGATAGTACGTGCGGTCATTGAAGCTGGGGACACCAATTCTGATGTCCTGCGGCGCACCCTCGATTTCGACGGCGAACTCTTGGCCGCGAGCGGCGTCTCGAATGAAGTCGCCGATTTCCGTAGACTTGGACCAGCGCACGAAGCGCCGTTCAGCCTCAGCATTTGCGGGTGCTTCTTGGCCGAGGCCACTGTACGATTCGACTCCACCTTCGCCGGCGCCACCCCGAAGAGATCTGGCCTAGTTATCATCAGCTACCAGACAGTTGATACACACTTTCCCACGTAAACATACCTCTTCCGCGGTCTTCCGGTTAAGCTTGCCAGTCTTGTGGGTAACTCCGTCGATTCGCAGCTCATCGGGAGTATCGATATTGTCGTCATCGCTCTCCTTCGGAGTGCGCTTCTTCGGGTCCGTCACTGTAGTCTTCTTCGCGGGATCCCGTGAATTTTGTGTCGAGTCCTCGGCCCGAAAGTGGACTTCTGGTATTCTCTCTTTGCCGTCCCTATTGACTGTGGGAAGCTCAGATTGGATCAAGCGCTCAAGGTACGACAGCGGTTGCTGGGGATGCACAAGGAGGGCGAGGGGCTCGACGTCTTTGCGATCGCTGTTGTAGTCCTTGGTGGTCAGTGGAAGGATCAATTTCAACATTCGACTGGGCGTGGTCAGCAGTTTGCCTATACACTCATTCCGTCAGCATCGGTGTCTCCTGCAGAGAGCCAGGCGGCGTACCCTTCGTCATGGCACCAGCCGAGCGCTGGCGGCCGACGGGTGGCACGTCTGAGCCTTCACGATGCCATGGCGTGCGAATTTGCTTTCCCTTGTCCTCTGCGACCTTCCGGTCAAAGTCTTCCTCCTCCTCCTCCGTGATGTTGTTGTTTAGCTCGCTTATTGATTGCGAATTCGAGCTTGTGCCCGGTCTCTCCTGGAGGAGGGCCTTCCGTGTCGAAGTGAACGACCTCGAGGCATTGCGACGCGCCAGAGCTGGGCTGTGGTATGATGGCGAGGCGCGGAGACAGGAGACGCGTAACTGCGACGAAAAAGCAGGGGTCCTGAAGACGGGGGCTGCTCGCGCAGCGCAATGGAAAATCCGAGGCTGCATGGTTCCACACAGTATGGTCTCAGGCGTTTTGCGGTAGCGAGGTGAGAAGCAAGTGGTGTTGCATGGTCGACGGGCTCTCGTGAAGCGTGTGTGAGGTAATGTGGCTATGCAATGGAAAGTTGACATGCAATGGACTGCCCGGGATCTGAGGCCTGGAAACAAAGCCCCAACTACGTCATAATTTGCCCGGCCAATGATCGACGCTGCGCCTCGGCTGTCCCTGTTCAACACCACCCCCCATCGACGACATCGGCCCGACCCGTTTCTGGAATGCTTCTGCCGTCCAGCATCGTCTGAGTGTCTGGAGGCCTCTCCGTTCAGGCATCCCTCATCTTCACCGGCTTGCCTGAACCCGTGTGCCGCCCCAGGGTGAAACTGCCTGAACGAAGAGAAGGCCACGCTTCATCTGACTTTCGGCATGTTAGGATGCTGCAAGCCACCCGGTCGGACTAGGTGCTCCTTAGCACGACGCCTTCGCTGTGGGCGAACCTGACTTTGCGACGTTCCCCTTTATAGGTGCCGCCGTGGCCCCCCCTGATCGCACCCAGCCCGCCGGCACCGTTTAGTCCTCGCGCAAACAATCTCACGTCGTTGCCATGTTCGGAAGGGCTAATAAACCCTTGGATGGCGAGTGGAGCAGGGCTGGAGATTTCCAGGGCTGCTTCTATGCAGGCGGCCCAACACGCACCATGGATTTGGTCGCTCTAGAGTGTGTTGATCTTGTTTTGTGTTGCAAGCTTCGTGCTTCTGAGAAACACCAGCTCGGGCCTGGTTTGTTTCTTGGGCGGCTCAGGGACCTGTGGGGGTGCAGGTCCTTGCCCCAACCGTACAGCGAGGCAAAGATGAGACTCTCCTTTGTCGCAGAAGCGGCGATCGCGAGGAACGAGTGCGTGTCGCCGCGTCGAAGATTGTCGAAGATTGTCGGTCGGCATCGGTCGGGAGCCAGCGAGTGGCCGAGGCCGAGTCAGCCGGCGGGGCCGGCAGCAGCGGGCCTGCGACGAGGGGTCTGTCGGCCTCGACCGGGGGACAGCAACGGCCACTGCTGCCAGCAATGACTCGACCCCGGCACAAGCTCCACCATCATGCTCAACCTTCTCCGTGGCGCTTTTTATTCCGCCGCAAGCCCGCCTTGTCGTCTGCATCCCGCAAGCTCCTCGCCGTCCTCCTACGCGCTGACCAAAAAGTTACGCCGGCTCTCATAAGCAACAACACCGAAGGTGGACCGTGCTTGCATTACAACATCGTCGAGAACCGCCGCCGAAATACATCAACCGCAGTAGCCCTGTACATATCCGGACCCACGCCCTGATTCCCCTCGCCTGCACACCTCCTCCGCCATGGCAACCACTGCAACCGATGCGCCTGCCGTCAATGGCACCGACGCTCATCCCGCCTTCGATCCCATCCCGGACGTGATAGAAGCCTTCGGTGCGCCCACCTTGCCCCTCCCATTCGCTGCCCACGCTCTTCGCCGGGCTTGCTCCTGGCGCATTGGCTGACGCTCGCTCCCGCAGGCCGTGGCGACTTCGCCATCGTGCTCGATTCGCCCTCTCGCGAAAACGAGGGCGACCTCATCATCGCCGCCTCCGCTCTCACCCCCGCCAAAGCGTCCTTCATGATCCGCTACACGTCGGGCTACATCTGCGCGCCGGTGACGGCGGCGCGCGCCAAGAAGCTGTCGCTGCCGCAGATGGTCGTTGACAACGCCGACCCGAACCGCACCGCCTACGCCGTCTCCGTCGACGCCTCGACCCGCCACGGCATCTCCACCGGTATATCCGCCGCCGACCGCAGCGTGACCTGCCGTCTGCTCGCTGACGACAGCGCGACGGCCGAGGACTTCAGGCGGCCCGGTCATATTCTGCCGCTGCAATCGCGTGACGGCGGTGTCAGGCAGAGGCGCGGCCACACCGAGGCGGCGACGGAACTGTGCCGGCTGGCGAAGCTGCCCGAGGCCGGCGTCATTTGTGAGCTCATCACCGACGGCGAGGAGAAGGAGGGCGTGGCCGAGCGCGTCGGCGGTGGCATGATGAGGAGGGACGAGTGCCTGGCTTTTGGCAAGAGATTCGGCATCAAGGTGTGCACCATCGAGGATCTAGTGCGCTACGTCGAGGAAACCGAGGGCAAGCTCGAGGGTGTCGTGGGCGTCGACTACTAAGGTGACTTGGGATCGAGTGCCGAGAAACCCTAGGGGGTAATTGACCGATGCCATTGCCTCCTCGCCGTAGAGCTTTCACATCCTTGTGGACAGGCAGCCACCCCCGTTGATGATCTGAGTGGCCAACTCTACCATGGCCGGGACCATGTCTTTCCTGTTTTTCACATCTGTTCGGCACAGTCCTCGTTTCCTTTCCTGGACGTATTTCGCCTTTGGCACGGCCATCATGCCGTCAGCCTTTGGGTTTCGTTCTCATTGGCGTAGGAGTTGCTTGTACAGAGTTGGGAGGGACTGGAAAATCCCGTGGAGCCATGAAACGGTGGAGATTGGATGACGGGGACCGATCTATCAAAAATCCTTCGAGATGTAAGAGTACACACCAAAACAAAAGTCATAGAGGCAAGCCTGCGAAGGAACAGGAAATTCAACTCAGTCAATATACGCCCACGATGCAGCTTCAGTTCAATCTCGGCGAGTAGATGCGCCCACTGTTGTGTTGATCTCCCCTCACGCCTCAGCCCGACCCCAAACTCTACCAAGATGACCTTCACATGTAACCTCATATGTAAGATTGAAGAAAAACGGCACTTATGCAATTCTCATATACGGCACGCCATTCTCCCGATTTCCGAATGTCGTGTCTCATAGCCACGCGTCATGACAGCTACATGCACCGGCTAGGTTCCGCAACCGGACGGTCTCGGGATGACAAGCGATTGGTCTGAGAACTAGGACGCCAGCATGTAGCGGTACATATGCATTGATTGCGTATGTGCAGCAGATAATAATACCGCAAATAGCATATGCAATATATTTCCTGTGCCTGTCAGCGAAAACAAGCAAACGGAAAGAATTCGGTACGCCAACCGATCGGGTTCAATCAATTTCCTCAGCCCCGATCCTGGCAGGTTGCATGTGGCATCTGCAAGCCGCCACTGCTGCAAGGCTCCCCTCTCCCTCCGCATTAGCTCACCCGTCCTTCGGCTTTCGAGAGTTTCATCAGCCCGCTCAAGCCACTAATTCCCGCGCGCCGTGACCACTGGTAGCCGCCAGATTCACTTGCCGTCGCCAGAACAAGCAAAAACAAGAACCGACAAGGCTCGTATCTGACGATCCTGCCGCCGCACCGTGGCCGTAGTGCAGCCACTGTTACTTCTTTTAGTTTTAAAGGAAGCGCGCTATACTACAGCCCACCCAACGGCCCGGGCAAAGATTACGTCGAGTGGATCGCCACCCACGACAGCTGCGGTCTCACCCGCCGTTGCATGTCACTTCCAAGCTTTCCCGATCGTACTTCGCCACAACTCTTTTTTTTTTTTTCCTTTGCCTCCCCTTCCCCCCGCGCTCGCGAACAGCCGCGGTCCGGCCACTTAGGCTCGGTGCATGATGACAGCCTTTGGGGGCCAAGCGGACTCTGAGACTCACGCTAAAAGAGTCGATGCTCTAGTTGACTTTAGTGTCTGACATCAGTACATTTGAGATACGAGGGGCGTGAAAGCCAAAACGTGTGTTTTCCTTGCTTTTTTCTCCCGCTCTGGCGACCGGCTGCATGATCGCCCCTTCAGGCGAAAGCCTGCTGCACGTGAGCGCAGCTCAGCGGGAAATCGCGATGGCCTCTCTGCTCGGCCGAGGGATGCTGGTCTTTTTGCTCTCACCCGTAGTACATGGGAGGCCCCGAGACATGATCTGCTGTCAGCTGGGAATACCCTTCCGAGCGTGCATGTCGGCAGGGTTGAGATGCATGTACTGTTCATCGGCCGCTACATACTTCGGTCCCGCAGCGAGGCACATGGCTTTGCTGCAGCTGCCAAACTTCTTTGTTACGGCTTTGATTGTTATAGTTTGGTGTATGCACAAATTAGAATGCATGTAGTTGTGACGAGATGGGCCCCAGAACAGGTGGGTATTGGCTGTGAAGACCACATCCAAAGCCATCACATTTTGCAGGGACCTCACCTGTTGCTTTGCAGTGGGTAGACAGAGACGATCTAAGTTCGGAACAATGATAATGTTGACAAGTAGGATTGCCTGAATGTACAGTACACGAACGGTCTTATGCAAATCTTTCAACCAAACTCCAAGACCCTAGATATGCATGTAAAGAAACCACAAGGGAAATTGTTTGTTCCTTCAAAGACCAGAGTCCTGCTTGGGGTATATGGAACTAGTCCAGTACTTGTCCCAGTTCGTACAGGTTTTCTGCCATGAAGCGTCGTTGAGGCCCTGAATCTGAGACTTGGCCTCGAGGAACTGAACTCCGAGACCTTCGCTGATGTGCCAGGCCTACAGGAATTGCAACATTAGTATCTGATTTCAGTCTAAAGTATCAACGTCGGCAACTTACAATGTGGCAGTGCATGAGCCAGGCTCCGGGGTTGTCGGTCGGGAACGCAAGAGCGAGCCAGCCACCAGCTGGCAGCAGCGAAACGTCACGGCGAGTGGGGTTGCTCCAGTTCAGGGTCGAGGGAGAGGTGCTGAGGTCAAAGACACCAGAGCCCTTGCCGAGCACGTAGAAATCGTGGCCGTGCAAATGGATCGGGTGCGGGATTTGCGGAGTGCCGGTAGTCTCCTGAATGATCCAGTAGGTCCAAATATTCTCGTTCGGCAGCTCGATCAAGTTGTACACATGAGGGTAACTGGTGTTCCCGTCGATGACGTACTGAAGCGTCGGCTTCTCCCAGTCAATATCAATGGCAGTCATGTTAATGCCCCAGAAGACAATGTTCTGCTGGTTGGTAGAGACGTTCGCCGTTGTCAGATCGACACTGAGGGTCGAGACTTGGCTAAGGAAGGTAGAGTTAGGGACAGTGTTTGACACGTAAGGCGTGGGAAGAGGCTCGACGCAGCCGCCGGGGACGCTTGAGGCACTATCCACAGGATCACTAGAAGAAGCTCCGGCAATGCTGAACACACCTCGGCCGTAGTGATTGTTGGCGCTGAGGCAGGCAGTGGCGACCTCGGCGCGGAACCAATAATTACCAACCGTCGAACTGGCGGTGAAGATGACATCGTAGCGCTGGCCGATCGCCATGAGAAGCCAGTTGGTGGTCCATGGCTTACTCGGGACGAAATCGGAGGTGATGACTGTGAAGTTGTGGCCGTCAAGGGAAACCCAGATGTTGTTGTCCACCGAAGTGTTGATAAGACGGAGACGGTACTTCTTGCCAGGCTGGAGGTTGTTGACTCTGCTGTACGCACCGGCGGTGCCATCTTGAGACTTCATGGTGCCGTTGACAAGGATGGTGTCCCCTGGAGGACCGGGCTTGCCTGCCTGGAGGGCAACGTTGAAGTTGTCTTCGATCTGGAAGGCGGTGCGATAGTACCAGTCGGTCACAGTATAGGTACCAAGGTCGTAATCGTAGTTGGAGGAGGCCGGGCCGTTGATGACGAGTTGGCCCACGGCACCATCACCGTACTGGGCTGAGAAGTGGCTGTGGAACCAGGTGGTGCCGAACTGGGTTGCGCGGAACAGGTACGTCTTCGAGTCTCCCGGGGCAAGCGGGCACTCGGTGATTCCATTGACACCGTCTTGAGTGGGGGTGTTGTACTGGCGAACACCGTGCCAGTGGACGCTAGTACCGTTGCTGGGCATCTTGTTGTTGATGGTGACAGAGATCATATCTCCCCAGTTCGCATACAGTGTCGGGCCAGGAATCTTGTTGTTGAACATCAGGCATGGACGACTGGGACCGCCATCAGGATTGCAGGTGCCGTTGGTGATGTCTAGGCTGTAGGAGACGGTGTTGCCAGTGGTGGGCCACTTCTGGTCAAAGTCGGTCACAATCGAATAGCCATTGGACCAGCAGCTCCTGGTCAGAGGGCCATTTGTGCAGGCAGCGTCGGCCACCTTAGTACTGGTCGACGAGGTAGAAGTCGACGAGGTGGAAGCCGACGACGTGCGAGACGACGAGATGGAAGCCGACGACGTGCGAGACGACGAGATGGAAGCCGACGACGTGCGAGACGACGAGATGGAAGTCGCCGACGTGCGAGACGACGAGGTGGAAGTCGCCGACGTGCGAGACGACGAGGTGGAAGTAGATTGGACCAGACGGGGAACCACACTCATGTGGTTCCCTGCCGGGCCCTTCTCGCCCCAGAGGATTTTGTTGTTGGGGAGATGTGCCGACGACTGGGCAACAAAGACGGCGAGCCAGGCTGCCGCAAGGCTGGTGATGCGCATGATGGCGCGGGATGAGCAGGTATGAGCAGGTATGAGCAGATTTGAGAAGACAAAGGATGGAGAAAGGATAAGAAGGGAAACGGCTGCTGGTTGATGTCGACTCTCTCAGGAGCAACGGTCGACATATATACCACGCGGACACAAGCCAATATGCAGAGCTCCATGGACCGGACGAAGTCACAGAGGCAGCGGTCGAACCAGAACGACGCCTACACGGCAAAAGCCACAGCACGCGAGGCGACACAGGTGCGGATACAAGCAGCAGAGCAGGTCTGGAGCCCCAGCCGGGGAGCGCTAAGAGGCTAAGCATTGCGGAGTGGGTGCTAGGCGAAGGATGGGTGGCCCAAAGAGGAAATCGGACGGCGGACGGGCTGGTGGCTTGGCGATCAATGGGGCAGAGGCGAGTGAGTGGCGCTGCAGCTGTCAGGCGCAGTGGCCGGTGATGGTTCACGGTGGCTAGCGTGCCGGCATTCGGTGAAGCTGACGGGTCCCCATTGTGTGGTTCTCGTGGCTCGTCCACGACCCACGATTTGGCACTGGCATGCCCATTGGGAGGCGGCGGGCGGCGGGTGGCGGTGCTCGGGGTGCAGGCGCAGAGCGGGCGTGCGGGCGGGCGTGCGGGCGGGCGTGCGGGCGTGCATGCGTGGAGATTATCGGTGAAGAACGGCGGTGGTGGACAGCAGAGGGCGGGAAGCCGCAGAGCCAGAGCGGAAGCGACCAGGGGAGCCCGAGCGAGAGCGGAGGCGGAGGCGGAGCTCAGCGCTGCCGAAGTGCCGACGCGCCGACGCGCCGACGCCACCTAACGGATTAGCCCATCCACTGTCATGAACAGCCCTCACAGCAACGCCCTCTCGCTTCCTTCGCGTTATCGCGCGACATTGCCATCATCGGCCAGACGCCCGCTAGCCGCCCGCTAGCCGCCCCGGTACCCCGGACGCCGGAATGCTCCCCAGAAACATGGCGCGCCGCCCGCCAGCTCGCCGCCAGCTCGCTGCCACCTCGACCGACCTGATGAGCCGCATCCTTACGCACCGCTGCTAAACTTAGCAGCCCCATGCAGGGTCCCGCGTCTCTGGCTCCCCGCCCACCAAGTCCGAAGCGCCATGGGCTTGCGGTTGTCGCGTGCTCGAGCCTACCATCCGGGGACTTCCCGACCATCTGCAAGACACGGCTGTGCCTGTCGCTCGCTCCAACCTAATGCCGCATTCCAGACTCCCCCATGCCGCCAACTGACGTAGCTCTGCTTCTCGTGTCAGACGCCCGCCCAGCTAGACACTTGCCGTGCCAAGTCTCCGCGCCCAGTGTAACTCCCCGTCGAGGCAGCATTGCCGTCTTGCATCTACCAGTTTCCACTTTAGGTGCGTCGTGTCGAGCATCCTTCTCCCCGCCTGGCCCTTCGATTGCCTGTGGCTTACTTCCGGCCTGCGACATTTCTACATCCAGAGATGCCGGTTGAGCCTCTTGCCGTGCTCCGGTGGTTCCCAATTCTCTCGGCCTTGCTAGTCCCACCCATATCAAATCCTTGGGACGAGCCAGCACCACGAGCCCGCATCAGCCCCGCCTCAGTCTTCCGTCCATGATGTCGTGGCCCTCATGCCACCTCCTCCACCGGTGCGCTTTAGCTCGTGGCCAGAACGCCTGAATTTACTGCCGTAACGCCCGTGATTGCTGGGCTCACGCTACCGCTGCCGCCGTCTCCAGTGTTGTGTTGTTGACTTGAGATATAAGGCACCCTTGACCCCGGCCTTCCCACACTCCTATCCCACACACTACAGCTCTTTCTTTCTTCCACCTTCATCCTTTTGATTTTCCTTCTCGATTGAAAATGTCTCGCCTTCTTTCCGTGGCCACAGCCTTTGGCTTCCTCGGCCGCAGCGCTTTGGCCGATACCCAGCTGACTGCTGGCTGCCAATCTTTTGGCATGGACTTCCAAGGAGGCGGAATATACTTTCAGAATAACGCCTCCACCGATCCCTTCACCTTTGTCCAGGAGTTCGAAGGTAACCCAATGGATGCCACTGAGTGATAGGAGAGTTACTGATATCGTCATCAGGCTGCCAAGCTGATAACTCCACCAACATCCTGGTTGATCCCAGTGGCGACCAGTACACCTGCACCAGCACGCCGATGCAGCCAGACGATACAGACGAGTTGTCAACATGGTATGGCAAACATTCCGCCGCGCATCAAAGCTCTGCTGATGCCCTCTAGCCCCATATTGAAGGACGAACTCGTGTCCGGCGCTTGGTCCCTCCTGATTCTCAGCAACAACGGAGACGATGGCGCTCCCATCGCCTTCGAGAGAGACTTTTCACTCACCGTAGGCGTCCAATCGACTGTGACGGTGACGCCAACCATCACGTCAACCACGGTCCTCGTGCCAACAACCAACGTCTCCTCGACTGTCACTAGCACTAGTACCACGACACTCCCGCGCAAGACTGTCACGGTGGCCAGCACGACCATCCAAAAGACCGTAACCATCACTCCTTCGCCAGTTGTGGCCACCAAGACCAACATCCTCAACACGATAACCGTCTCCAAGTTCGTCCCCTCGGTCACCAAGGTTGTGAAGACCGTGACTGCATCCTGCCGCCTGCCGTCCCGCCAGCCAACTCCCGATCCGTTCGTCAAGATCATGCCCAAGATGGCTGCTGCCCAGTCCATCGTCAAGTCCGCTGCCTCTGCTGCAAAGAGTCCTCTCCCCAGTGCCAAGACCCCCTCTGGATCAAAGTTCCGTTACGCGCGTGACCCGCTCTTCGATCTCAACCACAACCGCGAGCAGTGGCTTCAGGCACGTTCGGAGCGCCTGCGTGGCATTTCTGGCCTTGGCAGGCGAGCTCCGGATGCCCAGCCCTTGACCGTCACCGACCAGAACACTTCCGACTTCATCACCGTCACTTCCACCTCCACGACCTCTGCTGTAACCAGCACCCTCCTGGGTAAGTTGTCAAATTGTGTTGTTGAGAAAACGGAAATGGTACTGACTGAACTCGCAACAGCCACTGCTACCATCACCAGTACCGTCACCCCGGCTCCCGCCACCGTCGTGAATGGCAAGACCTACCTGCCACCGTCGACCGTCACCCTGGCTACGCCTACCAGCACCCGCACTTATTACACCGTTGCCCGTGCCACCTCCACGAAGACTCAGGTCATTCCGTACGTGATCTCTTATATTTGATGTTTGTATTTCTTCGCTGACCATCCTGCAGCGTCACTATCACCACGACCGTCTACCCTGCCGCTTCCTCGTCCGCTTGCCGCGCGCATGGAGGTGTTTATGTCTAGTCCCGATGGCATTCATATGCAGCTTTCTACAGTGTCGATTAGTTTTTTTCCGCCTCGAAAGACTTACTCTTCAAAGTGGGCATTCATGCCCCCCAACCTTTTTCTTTTCACTGTTATTTTTTTCTTCGGATCTTTCCTCCGCATGGCGTCCGGTGGTATATCTGTCTTCGTATCCTTGGAGACAAACTGGATTCCGCGAGGTACTGTGTATATATTACTGTAGATCCCTAAGTGAACTTTCCTTACTCAAAGATGAGGTGCATTATTATTTGAAGTAAAATGAGAAGAATATTCACGCTGCATCGTTTCCACACCATTCAACTTCGGAGTATAATGTTGTCAGACGATAATGATCACATGTGATGAATAATGATGAAGCATATGCTTGTTGTTTGATGGTAGACGTCATCATCAGCCCAAAAGGGTGTTCAACACCATGATATCATGACGTTCAGCTCCCTTGATGCCCCTTTGCCAAGATCGCTACCCCTCATTCATTTGTGTATATAAACACCAGATAGCAGCAGATTCAATAAAGCGTCCAGAACCGATTGTATACTCAGTGACCGTCTGCGGTCACCGTCCAACAAATGTGAACGCATCAATTCCTCGACAGTCTTGTCCCCGAAACATTGCAAGTCTTTTCTTGATTCTTCGATGGAGTCATTGCTCATGGTTCTTCTCAAGTTCTCTCTTCTTGGAAGACCATGGAGGCTTCATCCGCAGTGCGCCCTTGGTCGCCAGCGGGATTATCGCAAATAAAGTCTTCACTAACGCCGCGGCACTTGGTGGTCGGAGAAACCACTCGGGTCCAAATCAGTAGCACAGTCAACGTTACGTTTCCGTGCCGTACCTACCGAGTACCAGGGACAAGGATTTGTAAACGAGAGGACGTTTTCCAAATGATGGGAAGCCTGGTGCCCTAGATTGCTTCGCCGCAACGACTAATAACGGGGAGGCGATCAACAAGGCTGTGTTACCCCGTCCCAGAGATTGGGTAACAACGGACCCGGTCGCTGGGGGGGGCTCGAGTTGCTAGCTTACCCCTCGTTAGAGGCGGTCGGAGTGAGCACGTGTGTTCTAGAAGGACAATGCCCGTGGTCTAGATGGTGGGTTCCGAAAACGTGCTAGTGCGGGCAGTGTAAGTGTGGTTGCACAGCCATCGGTGACGATTACACAGGATGGGATGACAGATGCATAAATCACCAAATGCAGCGATGGTATGGAGCATTGATGCACACATCATATGCATATCTCGGACAGTCAGCTGCGAATACCTCCTGTATCTTAGACTGGTAAAGCAATCGAGACGCGTTCATCCAAGCAATCCCAATGTCAGATCCAGACAAACAAGACCACGCAATCCTTGAAGCACGGTCGCGTAGAGTTCATTATTGTACAAGCAACGGCAGAGGGAAACACTACGTTCTTTCCCAGCTTGCCCTTTGACCCCTTATCCACCTCACAATTTCCGGAACGCCTGGTATCTCATGCACCCATATCATCCCCTGATGGTTTAATGTTGCTCTATGAGCTCATGAAAACAAGAAAAGTACACGTAAAGAATCGAAAAGAAGAACGAAGAGCCAAAGAACCCATCGGGGAAAACATGCGTCATTATTCAGGTCATCCTGAGAGTCCAATACTTGTGAACGCCATCCCTAGACGTGCATCGCTGCTAAAAATGACTGCGTGACTTGCAGCTCGAGCTGAACAGACAATTCAGCGGCTGACTTAGTGCTGTTGCGACTGCTGCCTCGCAAGCCCTTGCTTAGCCTACAGTTAAATCAAGTCAGTCAAGCATTCGTATCAAGCCAACGCTGTCAATGGGTGCGTGCGTACCTTCATGAGTTCAATCCGAGCCTTCAGATTTTGTGTAACTTCGGCGGCTCTCTTCCAACTCTCCGCGCCGTTGCTGGTGCTCGCACTCGTTGTCCCGCTTAACCTACTACCGCCCAAACTGCCATATTCACGATCCTCATGACCACCTGGCCCGCCGAGCGCTGGGCTGGCACGACCACCATAGCCAGAGCCGGAGTGACTGGACATGCCGCTGCCGGATCCGCCGCGTCGCAGCGGCGAAAGCTTGCTGCTGCGGGAACCGGAACGCGACAAACCGTCGCCGAAATTCTCCTTTCCATCTCCACCGGGAGACTGTGGAGTGAAGTTACGGCGGCCAAAGCTGCTGGAGTGTCCATGGCCGTTGTGGCTATACGCCCCGTTCATGCCCACGTCGTAGCCGCCATGATGCTGCTGCTCGTGGCTAATCTCGAATGGCGGTGGCGACGCGGCCCGCACTTGGCGAGACAATTCACGCTTCAGCCGTTCAACCTCGCGCTGTTGTGCCTGGACGGTTTGCTCTGCGGCCTCTGCATCGGAGCGGGCGCGCACTAGCTGCGTTTCCTTGGCTTTGATGGACAGAACATCCCGGGTGTGATCCTCGATGAGTTGTGCATTTTGGTTCTGCAGTTCGTGAATCTGCGAAGTCATCCGGGATTTTTCCGCCTTCGCGTCTTCGTTCTGCTTTCGTAGCATCTCCACCTCCGCACGAAGTTCATCCAATTCAGCCTTCTCAACCGCACTTAGGCCAGGTGCGGGTGCCGGAGGCTCGACAGCAGGCGCAGCGGCGGGCTTCCCGAGAGGCCTTCCTGCAAGGCCACGTCCCAAGCCGGCCCGGGGGGCGGGCTTCGCCGCTGGAGGTTCCGGTTCCGAGTCGGAAACTAGCTCCTCAACAGGGGCAGGTGCTTTCTTGGGCGATGGAGCAGCCAGGCCTGGCTTCTTCAGTCCCAAGCGCGAACCAGGAGCAGCGAGACCGGACTTCGGACCACCCAACTTCGAAGCGCCAGGCCGACTGGTGGGTTTTGGAGCCAAAGGTTCTTCAGCTGGAGGCGATTTGGCGCGGGCAGGAGGGGCAGCTTTCTTTGCACCCGGAGCGGCCTTCTTCCCCACCGGCTTCTTGCCAGCCGGTGCGGCGGCTGGCTTAGGGGGCGGGGCAGCCTTTGGCTTGTACTTGGCCTTTACCTCGGCGGAGTCATGGAACTCCTTGATTTTGTTCTTCCGAATTTCGTCCAAACCTTCTAGATGCGGGTTCATGATACGGTCGCCCATGATCTTCCATAGTGTTCCGAGAACCTCAGCGCCTGCATCACGCTGCGTAGCTTGGGATTCGGTGAGGAGCTTCGTCGCACCCTCAGCAATGGCCTTGGTCTCTGGCGGCTGAGGGGCATCCCTGGTCGACTTCAGAACACGAATGAGGAGCTGGGTTGTACCAAGCTTGACTTGAGGGTTCTTGTGTTTGAGCGCCTCCATGATCTCATCCAGACAATCGCCCAAGCTAGTTGAAGCGACGCACGCCTCAAGCGCGGCGCCCAGCGCATCTGCGACGGCCTGCTTCTTCTCCTTCAACCGTTCGAGCATGGGGCTAAAGACGGTCTGCCTATACTTTCCAAAGCTCTTTTTCAATCCCTTGGCGAAAAGCTCCACGCAGTTTGCGGCAACGGTAGCGACGGTGACGTTGGCATCCTTCATGGACTTGGCGAGTCCAGACATTATCTCATGAAAGGGACCTTCCTCCATTGCAGGAACGTTGATGGCAGTGTGGAGGTCATCCAGGGCCTCCTTCCGGTCTTTCCACTTGGATGAGCTGAGGCGCTCCGAAAAGTCCTTGGGGACCTTTGCCATAACATCAACAGCTATAAATTCGGGCTCCAAGTCGATTTCAGCTTCCTCCTCGGCTTCGGCGTCTTCTACTTCATCACCTCCGCCAGCTGCAGCGGCAGCCTCTTGTGCCTCTTGTTGCGAGCGGAGAAGCCTCTCCTGTTTGGGCGGCGGTTCCTCCTTGACCTTCTCGAAGAGTTTGTCCAAATCCGTCTGCTGGACGGGCTTGAGATCGCCCCAGAAGAGGGGTTTCATGGCCTCCTTTAGCCATCTGTAGAACTCGACAGTCAGGTTCTGTGCCTCGGCACGGACGTTCTTGTCGGCGTGGCCGAAAACCTTTGGAAGAGCCTTCAGGATGGGCTTGGGCTCGACGGTCTTGCAGCCGTATGCATGGACGATGGCGGTCAGGGCCTTCAGACAGGCGGTAATGACCTTGGGTTGTTTGTGTGACAGGATCGGTAGTAATTCTTCAATGACGGGGTCGGCCTTGTCCATTTCGATGTACAGCATCAGCGCCTCCTGTGCTTTCGCTTGAGCAGCGGGGCGACCGGTCAAGCCCTTCTCCACGATCGGCGCGATGGTCAGATTCCGTGTTCTGTGCAGCGCTGTCAGCGTCGGTCATGAAAGAAAGACCGTTACGGAGCAGTACCTTGTAGTGCCCTGGAGACCGGCAATCTGGAGGTATGAGCATAGTGCGCTGAGGGCCTCTGCTTGCGCAGCAACGTTGGAGTCTGCCACCGCCCCTTTCCACAGGCCTGAGTCGAGTGTGAACTGGCGCACGACAGGGTCGGACTCGCCCTGAGCTTTATCAAACTCCTTGGTTGCTGCCTCATAGCCCTCCTTTCTCACTTTCCAGTTCTTGTGCTGAAAGCGATCGGGGAGCGGCAGGGAGCTGAAGTCCTCTTCGTCACCCATGGTGAACAAGCTTGAGCCGGCGGGCTACTGCTGCAGTCTGGGAGCGACGACGGTCAGCAAAACGGCCAGGCAAAAGCCGAGACGGGTCACAGTGGCCGGCCCAGGCGCGATTGAGCGACGGCGACGGCGAATCCCTTCGGCGGGGTCCTTTTTTCGCGCCCGGACGTACCAGTGGTGCTGAGCGCGGGGATGCGTGGCGGGGAAAACGTGCAGCGGACAGGCAGAGGTGCAGCGGCAGCGGGCGAAACGGCACGGGCGCTGGTCGGGGTGTTGGGCGGGATGGGTGGTGGTGTTGGGTTGCGATGATGAAATGGTCGCGGGTGTTTTGAAGACAACAAGCGGCCCGTTTCGGGTGCGGGCGTTGGCGTTGCTGGGCGGACACGGCGCCCGCCTAGGGCCTTGGGCTTGGGCTTCCACCACCCAGCAGCAATTGACCCTGGGCCCGCCCTCCGCTCCGTCTGCACGAGCTCGAGAGTCGGTCCCGCGGCCGTCTTGCCCGCTTGCAGCCCGCTTGCAGCCTCGCCGCGCCGCGCCACGCACACCGCCGCCGCCGCCGCCGCCCAGAGTGCGCGCTTCCTCCGCACTCGTCCCGCAGCAAAACATCCCCGTCGCTCGGCCGCACAGCCCTACCCGCACCGTCACCGTCCCAAACACCCCACGACACGTCCACCCCCAAACACTCCTGCGCCCGCGCACGCTGCCTGACCCCGAATCCGCCTCCCAGGGCGCACCGAGTGCCGCAGACCGGATGCGCCCATCGCCGCCATGAGTACGCTTTTGACCCAACGCCAGGCCGATGAGCTGTTCGTCCCCACCGCCTGTTACACACAAATGCACCATGTTCTGATATCTTGGCCCAGGCACAAGGCAATCATAGCATACCTCGCCGCCTCCGGCCACCCCAACAGCGCCCAGGCCCTGACCGACGAGCTGGGCATCGGCGAGTCCTTTGAGGATGCCACCCGCAAGAAATATGAGGGGTTGCTGGAGAAGAAGTGGACCAGTGTGGTCCGCCTGCAGAAAAAGGTCCAAACCTCATGCCTCCCGCTGCGACCTGTCCGTACTGAACCCATGCCGCATAGATCATGGACCTAGAGTCGCGGAATGCCAGCCTGCAGTCTGAACTCGACAATGCCACTCCCACCTCCCTCATGCGCAAGAACACCGACCCTGCGAGCTGGCTCCCCCGGTCTCCCGCACGCCACACCCTGCAGTCTCACCGCTCCCCCATCACCTGCGTTGCCTTCCACCCAGTCTTCACCTCGCTGGCCTCGGGCTCCGAGGACACCACAATCAAGATCTGGGACTGGGAGCTCGGAGAGCTGGAGCGGACCGTCAAGGGCCACACCAAGGGTGTTTTGGACGTCGATTTCGGAGGCCCACGCGGCGGCACTCTGCTCGCCTCATGTTCCTCCGACTTGACCATAAAGCTCTGGGATCCCAGCGATGAGTACAAGAACATCAGAACCCTCCCTGGACACGACCACTCGGTGTCCTCGGTCCGTTTTATTCCAAGCGGAGCAGCAGGCTCTCCGTCCTCGGGCAATTTGCTGGTCTCGGCCTCGCGGGACAAGACCCTCCGGATTTGGGATGTTACAACCGGATTCTGCGTCAAAACGATTAGAGGGCACGCCGATTGGGTGCGAGACGTGGCCCCGAGCTTTGACGGGCGTTGGCTCCTTTCCGCCAGCAATGACCAAACGGCTCGTCTCTGGGATTCCAGCAATGGCGAGCCGAAATGCACCTTCGTTGGTCATGACCACGTCGTGGAGTGCGTGGCACAGGCGCCGCCTGCTGCCTACGGTCATCTCGCCGTCCTTGCCGGCCTCAAGAAGCCGCCAGCAGCAAGCAGCTCTGCCGAGTTCCTGGCGACCGGCTCTCGTGACAAGACCATTAAGCTCTGGGATGGCCGTGGTACACTGATCAAGACGCTCAGCGGCCACGATAACTGGGTCCGCGCCCTGGTGTTCCACCCGGGCGGCAAATACCTCCTTAGCTGTGGCGACGACAAGACAATCCGATGCTGGGACCTTGCACAAGAAGGGAAATGCGTCAAGACGATTGAGGATGCGCATGGCCACTTCGTCAGTTGCTTGCGCTGGGCGCCAAGCGTCCAAAAGGAGCCGCAGACCAACGGTGAGACGAACGGCACGCCAGCGCCGCCGAATGGGGCCAAGAAGGAGGATCCGAACGCAAAGAACATCAGATGTGTTATTGCAACGGGCAGCGTTGATCTGAACGTCAGGGTCTTCGCGTCCTAGTGGATCTCGACAATCACAGATCCACATCCGAACATATGCCGTGCCACGGACCACGAGAAGGGAGAATATGTATGTGTGGGGAGGACAAGGCAACCGGATCACGAGTCTGACGAACTTTTAGAGAGAGACAGGGCGAACAAGAGCACAACGCGGAAGGCGAGTGAGATTCACGCTGCAACTCAACAGGTGCTGCTGCCGGTCTGGCAACCCACCTGGCAGTGCTATTTTTGCATACCCTCGGCGTTGGGTTCGGCGCAAGAAGGGAACTTGCTTCAACCGGGAGGACACTGGAGGGGCAGATGTCTTTTTTTGCCGTCTGTCTTGTTTGCACCTTTTTTTTTAGTCTTTTCTTTTGACTTACGAAGACGTTTTAGTATGGGTGGAGGAGACGGTAGTTCTTGATGATGATGATTTCTGGAGTCACGTAATGCGTATGCAGCATTTCTCATTCGTGTTCTTTCGAAGTTCCAGCGTGGCATGCGTCTCTCGTTATGCGGTGCCGCCATCTTCAACTTTGTGTGTAATATATGTGTCATCCTTCAAAAGCGTCACAGTCTTGTCAATCCAATAGTCAGTGGCACTGGTCCCTCTCAAGCTGAACTCATCAAAGAGCTTACATCTACAGTCATATGCGTGCTTCAGCTGCAATTGTACCGAGGAAGGTGAAGTCAGAATGATTACCATGTATTCTGGGTCTTTTGGGACTTGGTGTCATACTGTCCAATCTGACTCCAACCGCATGGTCAGGCCAAAAGACTCTGCTGTTTCTCCCAGGTACACGCACTCCTTTACATGGATTCCCTCAATCTGAGGCGGATGAATGGTATCATCACTGCAACGGCTATGGTTTGAGCCTGGGCGCATTTTTACCACTGACTGCAAATGAATTCCGAAGGAGTGTATCATACACGTGTACTCCAATGCATAAACCTATTAGCCCTTGATGACATTGTTTAATAACGCATCAGCGGGTAGTCTCTACTTACTTATACAATCAGCTACTTTTCATTAGCGAGAACCCTACAATACTGTATTGTGTTCCCAGAGAGAAGAGACTGGCGCTACTCTTCAGGATGCAAATGTGTCTACTCGCAGCCCTGAAGATCACAGATGTGCACCTGTACAAAGGATCTCACGGCTTCCAAGTGTATATATGTAGATTTTCAGAAGACTCTAGATGTGCTCTGACCTGACCAGAATAGATAACTACATGCTCTCGATGCTAGGTGCCCATTTGTCTTACGTAAAAGCGGGTGTCCGCATCCAGACGCCTTCGCGAGCACCTTCGGAGGCATGTCGAACCTTAACAACTTTGACGCTTTCCTTGCAAGGGAACACATTGCGATCTAGGAAAATACTCGCGCTATACCGTTCTCCTCTAAAGTCACTGTCTGTATGCTTTACTAAATGTGCTTCTCTACAGTCACCCAGAAACGCTCTTCAAAACTCCAGACTGACTCCGAGGGTACCGCATCGAGAATACAACGACAGAGTTGCCCTAAGCCACTGCATCATCACTTTACAGTACCACGCCCCCCCTCGGGAAACACCCATTTCATCCATATCGAAATGCTCAACGAGGTGTAGGTTACTTCGAAAAAGGATGTTTCGGGGCGTTCAAAAAGCGAAAAGATTGACAAGATTCCTCATCTACCGCTGCTTGAAGGTCTTCACTGTAGTGCACATACGGAGAGATCTGCCGAGGACTCGGAAGAGTTGGACAGGGTTCATGATGAGCACAGACTTGCTCGGTATGTAGATGTGGAACACCGATCTCAGCAGCACGGGCATCCTGCCAAAGATGTTGAGTGTCCCTGGTGTGACGAGTCAGGTGAAACCAACTTATCCACAATAGGCAGGGTCTGCATATCTAGGCAGTATAGTGATCTAAACGTGTCCAGAGACCTGCGCTGATCGTATTCAGCAAAGGAAAAAAAAAAATCAGAACGTTGAAAATGCCGGCGGTGGACGAGCAAGGAGTGACGGTCAGATCATGACCGTTTCAGAACAAAGGTTGGAGACGATTGCAGACACCAATCTTTCACATTGTACATACGTCGTCATTCAAAGAAATATTGAGAGAACCCAACCATGCCGTGCATGAGTATATACGCTATCCCTATTACTCCGATCCCTCAGAGAGCCACCTCTCATGAACCAACCAGAAGTTTATCTTAGTGATGAATCCAGCTCCGTAAAAAAGAAAGCAGCCCGATCCCAAATCCCTCCAGTCAATCGATAATATAAACTTATAGAAGTACAGAAAGCCTACCCACTCGCACGAATAGTTGTTGTGGTGATGATGTTTGTGTGTTCCCAAGCCTCGTCTCCGACGGTGCTCCCTCATGTGGTACGGCAACAACACCTACAACCAGCGGTAATGATCTTCTGAACTCAACGCAGTCGTGCCATCTTTGGTCGTGAATCATCGCGTGCTGTTGTTGTCGTAACATTCGTGAGCTTCGTGGATGTTGCTTGGCTGCTGAACGAAGAAAGCAGGTAACAAAAAATGGGAAGACCTGGGAAAGAAGCAGACCTAAAAAGGGCCCAGAGAAACAAGAAATTAGAGTCCCAACCGATTGACTCCCACCTACCAACATGCGCCAGAGAAAGGTACTTCGGACTAAACGAATAAGCAAGTGACCAAACCGTCTCTGGTTTTCTTAACGATCCAACATCGCCGGTCATGCAGCAACGAACAACGGGTTTGCCTGGTCAAGTTCGGTCAGAGCAGACCTCCGTGGCCGCATCAAAGCCAGAAGTCTCCGGCATTTTCTTTTCTTTCGTGGCTCAACCCCTTCTCCAATTCACTGCCAAAATCAAGACCAGGTATTTCAACCTTGGGAGTCTCAATCTTGGGCGGTGCTTCCACCTTCTTTCTTGGGCCTGCCTTCTTCGGGGACATGATTTTGTCTTCCCGCAGGCCCATGCGCACGTCTTTAACCTCCCAACCGTCGGCTACAGCGGCCTTGACCCAGGTCTTGAGGCCATCATGCACCGCGCCGTAAAACTTCTCTTTGCAAGTGCGCAGTTGGCCGCCCATAACTTTCTCGAAGCCGGAAGCACGGAGATCGTAGCGCAGATCATTGCGCTCTTCCACGGTCGGAAGCGACGCAAGAATGCCATTCATCAGGTCGAGGTGGGTGGAGATGTAGTTGGTTGCATCCCACTCCACGCCTCCGACGTAGGGAGCGGCAGGGACCGGCGGGCGCGGCTGGGGAAAGTGATGTTGGGCAAACTTCTGACCGTCCATAGCCGGCTTGTTTCCATCGTTTTCCAAGCTGTCTGATCCGAAAGGGATCACATTCAGGTGATGGAGGAAGATCCAGAATACCTCTTTGGTTACGTTCACAATTTCCTGGCACCAAATCCGATAGGGCCTTGGCTGATGCATCTCCAGAATGAATGGAACTGGACGGGCTTCTTCAGGCTTTTGAGGTCCCTGAAGGTATTTCAGAATGGTACGCGCGCGTCCGGGGAGCTCTTCTGGTGTCTCAAGAGCGGAGCATAAATGGGCGACTTCATTCGTTAGTATGCGTCTTCTCGGGAACATGAGAATATAACTTACACAAAAGGCTCATGATGAGACCGCGAGTAGTAAACTCGCTAGGTCCTTTGTGTTCCTCATCGAAGAGCATGGCCAAAAGCGCAGGAAACAGGGTGGATTCGATTTCGCATAGCTTTTGACATGCAATCTTGGTCGTACAGAGTCCCTTGAGGCAGAGTAGAGACTCATGCAGAAGAGTGTCCTCATGCTCCTCCCTGATAGAAATAATTAGCAAACAACGCGATTGCTTTCTGCATATCGATGTTTATGAACAACTCACCGCCATTCGATCTGCATGATGCGTTCGAGCAAGCCAACAATCTCCATCATGCCGCCCTGGCAGATGAAAGCGTCGACCCAAGCAACCGTCTCATTCCTTAGAAGCAGCCTGAGCTTGTGTAACTTGCCCACCTCGACCAGTTCAGGCTTCTGAACTTTCCTGAGGTACGCGACGAACTCTTCTGGCGTAGCAGCCTTGGGGGCGCGGCTGAAAAAAGAGGATCCTGTGGCAGAGGAGAGCGACTTTGACGAAGGGGACTTCTGCGCGTCGTAGCTCTTGGAGGACCTGTCGGGCGGTGGCACTTCAGACTTTTGCTTCTCACCCTTATCGCCTCTACTGAACGTAAAGGTCTTACTACGCGGTCTGGGGCTCTTTGCCGGATCGTCGGAGTCGGGAAGGATGCGGTCGCTGCTTTGATCGGATGTGGTTCTGCGGCCGACTGTAGGCTTTCCCCAAATCGATGTTCTCTGGACCGGCTCGACTGCTGACTTTGGTTCCTCGATCTTGTTTTTGCTGATGAAATCAGCCTTGACACGGGTGTTCAAGCTGCGCATCTTGGAGCGCAAGTTCTCGGGAATATTCCTAGAATCCTGATGGGTCGTTAGCCGCGATCGGAATCAAGCTGGCGGCCTTTCTTACCAGCACAGCCTCAAACTCGGCGTCGATTTGCTCCTGATCAAGAGGCGTCTCCGGCTCCGGCTGGGTCGAACGACCGTTGATGGCTGCAACAGCCGCCATGACCTTGGAGCCCCGTTTCGACGCCAGCGCTGACTCGACCTGCCTCTTCTCGTCCTCCCCTTTATGTTTCTGAGAATTGGTACGGCGCAGTGTGGACTCCTCGGCGGAGGGCCGTCTTGACTCCCCCCTCGCCTTCCAGTTGTCTACAAATGTCTGTGCTTTGCCCCCAAGCGTCTGTTTTTTCTCTTCGCTCTTCCTCGATAGCGTCTCGACGAAGGAGTGGGCCGAGGCGCTCTTGGGTAGGTACCACGAATTGGGGCGGGACTTGGAACGCGTCGAGCCGCCCGAGGGGTGGCGTTGCTGCAGGGTGGGCTTGTCGACGTCGTAGAAGTTGCGCTGTTTGGTGGGGGTGTAGTCGGCAGGGGTGTACAGGGCGATTTCATGCTCAATGTCGCGCTGGACAGCAAGCGGAATGGTAGTGGTGGTGGTGATCTCGTGATAGTCTTCGGACGGCCTCTGCGAGGAAAACTCAGCCCAGATGGGGGTGTGACTCGGCTCCGTCGCAGAGTGCGGCGGTGTGGTGTTCTCCTTGTCTCTGCTAGCGTTGGCGTTGCCCTTTTTCTGGGACTTGGCCTTGGAGAAGACGGCGGAAAGGCTGGTCGAGGACTTTGGCTTTTTCATCTTGTCCTCGCTGCGCGGTCGCAAATAATCCTTTTGCTCATCTTTGGCGCCGTCCTTGGACTTTTCCCTCTCCTTGGCGAGCGAGCGGAGGGAGACGGTGCTGAGGGTCTTTTTGTGCAGGCCGCGCATCCTGCCGTCGCGACCGTCCTTGGATTTCCGGGGCGACGCGGGACCACCGGGCTGGTTGTGGATTTCGCCGAGCACGCGCTGCGCGTGCGGGTGGTCGGGCGGCAACACGGGCATCGAAGCCATTGCAGCCTGAGAGCTCCTGGGCCGGCGGGCGTCCTTGGGGTCGGGAACCGCGAGAGCGGTGCCGTCGGAGGGCGAGCGCTTGTGATTGAGGCCGGTGAGAATGGACTTGATGGTGGTCGCAGATCGGTTGCGCCTGTGACTTGGGCGGTCTGGCGCGGTGGCCAGCCTTTGGCTGCCGATGGCACTCATGGTGCTGCGCGCGGGAAGGGTGAGCTGGTGAATGGCACGGGCGCGCGCGGTGGGGACGCGAAGAGGGTACGTACGCAGAGACGGTGTGCACCGGAGAAGGGCGCCTGCGGGCGGCAACGGAACCAGAGACGGGTGGCAGCTGAAGGGGGAAATCGGACGGCGAGGGAGTCTTTAGTCTCTGACGCACATGTCCTCGCTGGCGAGAGCAGACAAGAGGCCGCTCCGCAATGCTCGTGCGGGCTGGGGCGTCCAAGCGCGGTTGTTTACGCGGTTGTCATGGGCGATGGATCGGCACCCCGGCCAGGCGATCGCCCTCACCGCTGACGTCGCTAAGCCTGCTGCGTGCCGCCCTGGCCAACCGACAGCACACCCGCCGGGCCGCCCCTACGCAGTAAATCGCCGTCTCCCACTCCCTCGCTCTCTGCTGACGCCGCTTTGACACACCAGCGCATGCGCCCGCGCTATCGCCGTCGCACACCGACGCCTCCGACTGTGGCGCCCACTCCAGCGCCGCCCGTCCACCCATCGCACGGCCTGCACTGCCCAGCCGAAACAGCCCATCATCATGCGACAGCCGGCAAGATCAAGTGTTTGACGCTACTCTAGGGCCTAGGAGCGCGGAGAGAGACGCATCAACCAAACAATGTGCCACGCCCATTCTCTTCATAACAACCCCGTCGCCCCGACGCTGCAAGGCCGGCCGCCTGTGCCGCCTGTGCCCCGAACCTCCAGCGTCCAGGTTCCACGACCGCCATTTCGACCACAATTTGTTCCGCGGACCGCTTTTCCCATCCTGCGCTTTCTCGCGAGCTTCCCCTCACACGCCCGTTTGCCCCTGTGTGTTCCTTCCTTGTCCCTGGCTTGTGATGACATCCTTGAGCTCCTGCCTCTGCTTCTTCCGGCGGTGGTTGAGCAGGTAACACGCTCTGAGGAACATCAAGAAGTGGAGGACGCTGGTCCAAAGTCAGTGTTTGCATGCGTGCATCGAAGGATGAGTCGCGGCGACGTACGTCAAAATGAAGCCAGCGACACAGCCGCCCTGTACCAGGTACAGCTTGACCCCATGTTTGCCGTGGTCTGGTAGACCCATGCCCCACCACCTCCAACTCATGTTCGTATCGTCACTGTGCTCCGATAGACTCCACCCCCACGGATTCCACCAACTCCAACTCTCCTCCATGGAAGAACCACGATCGTGAGGGCCTGCGTAATAGACCGTGCGCACGTTGCTCAACCAATATCTCGCGCCAGGGTTCTGAGGCTTCATGTCTGCTTCGGCTAGCATGAAACCGATGATGGCAAAGGCCATGAGGATGAGGCAAAATAGGAGATGGAAAGCAATCTGTACCCCGGGATGGATGCCCTTTGACGTGCCGCGAGAGCACCAGACGGCGAAGTTGAAGAGATTCCAGAGTAAACTTGCAATAACACAAACGAGCAGCTAAGCAAACATTAGCATTACGGCCGCACTGAGTATCCGGGGACTCACAGTGATGAGGGTATCTTTTAGGAACATGTTGCTGATCCACGGATCAGTCAAGGCTCTTGCTGTCCACCTCCCGTCACGCCGCACGGAAAACAACCAGGTCCGCTCGTACACTCTGGGAGTGCCTGGGACCACCTTGAGAAGCAATGTGAGACCAACGATTGCAGATGCTGCAGCCGCCATCGGGAGGTAGTCCAAGAAGCTTGGCCTGGATGGATCCTTCTTATTGGCCTCATCTGCCACCGGTGCAGCGCGGGCAGACGGAGCATGCTTTGACTGCGATGATGGACCTGTTGGGTCTCTCGAGGATGGAGACGAACTGCTCGAAGATGAGGTTGAACTGCTCGAAGTCTCAATATGATGTAGAGCCAGACTAGGAGCAGAAGGGTGAACAAACGTAATGGTATCCATTTTCTGGCAGCCTATAACTGGCGAATATGATGCAATGGAAGACAACAAGAAGTGCCGAGTGACTCGAGATGATAACGTGAATGCTTGGGCGAAGGCTGCGTGGCTTGGAGACAGCTCGACGAGTGAAGATGTTGTAGAAGAAGAATAGTTCGGTGTAGTCAAAGACGACCGAAGGACACTACAGCGGGTGATTACTTCCTAATTGGAGAGTCGCCCCATGCTGGCTCAGACTGGTAGGATCAGGCTGGTTGACGTAGGCAGGAATGCGCAGCGCTTCGGGGCACGGCTCTTTGCTTGAGATATGAGGGAAGGAGGCACTTTACTCGGCGGACGCAAGTATTCACGGGGCAGCGACAACACGTTCTCTAAGAGAAGGGCGTGATTTGATTCCCAGTAGCGCTAGAATGAATGAGAGTGGAATATCAAAGAACGAAAATAGTTGGTAGTGAAGCAAGCAATCCAACTCTCCAACCAGTGCGCACACAAAAAAGTCGTGGCCGTCTTTAGAGTAGCGCCAATCCGCATCATGGGAAATGTCATGGCCCGCCCTTGCACGCAATTTCTCCACCGATTCAAGCTCCGAACATCACGACCGCCATGCCACCCTCGCTATGCGCGCTGTGCCAGCGCAACCGCGCGCTGATTTTGCGACCCAAGAATCACCAGAAATTATGCAAGCTCTGCTTTCTTGAGCTTTTTGAGACCGAAATCCACCATACGATCACGTCGACAAACCTCTTCCAGCGCGGCGAAAAGGTTGCGATAGGCGCATCCGGTGGCAAAGACAGCACCGTCCTCGCCAGCGTCCTGAAGACCTTGAACGAACGGTACGACTACGGCGTCGAGCTGTTACTGCTCAGCATCGATGAGGGCATCAAGGGCTATCGCGATGACAGCCTGGAGACTGTCAAGCGCAATGCCGTGCAGTATGATATGCCACTGACGATCGTCGGGTATGATGAGTTATATGGCTGGACAATGGACCAGGTTGTCGAGCAGGTTGGTAAGAAGGGGAACTGCACATACTGTGGCGTTTTCAGGCGCCAGGCTCTGGATCGAGGTGCTGCGCGCTTGGGCGTTAGGCATGTGGTTACGGGCCACAACGCAGACGATGTCGCAGAAACTGTACTCATGAATTGTAGGATGCCTCAGTGCACTTGTTTACTTCTGCATAACAATACCTGTGCGGTTTCGATCTTTGCGCTAACAGGCTGCAGTGCTTCGTGGCGACCTCCCACGTCTTTCTCGTACAACCTCGATCGTGACCTCCACTCCCTCTGCCGCGCCTCCTCTGCCTGGTCCAGATGGCACAGTCGCCCTCGATCATACCAACATCAAGCGCAGTAAGCCGCTTAAATATGCATACGAGAAGGAGATAGTGCTGTACGCGCACCACAAAAACCTCGATTACTTCAGCACGGAGTGCATCTATTCCCCCGAGGCTTTCCGTGGCAGCGCTCGCGCACTCATTAAGAACCTCGAGCGTGTTCGGCCGAGCGCAATCCTCGATGTCGTCAGAAGCGGGGAAGATATGGCGAAGCTGGTTCCGGGAGGAGATAACGACAAAGTATGTGGCGGGAAGGGATGTGGCTCTGCCGCAGCAGCGCTCCCCGATGATGACGAGAGTGGCTGTGGCAGTGCTCAGGGACGTAGCACTGGGGGTGAAATGGCGACGATGGAGCGCGCACTCGTGCAGAATGATGTTGCAGCCGCCGTCGGACTAGAGACAGAGGTCACGCTGGCCACCGTGGGAACCCTTTCCAAGAACAAGCATAAACAGTCGAAACCTCGGGCCAATGGAAGCATCTCGGACAGACAAGCGCCGAAGAAAGCACCGAGACAACAGACGATGGGTAAATGTGCCAGGTGTGGTTACATCTCGAGCCAGGCAGTTTGCAAGGCCTGTACTTTGCTTGAAGGCCTGAATAAAAACAGACCGAAGACTGCCATCGGAGTCAACGCGGGGACCAACAATGAAGAGCCTCTTCAAAAAGCCGTAGGAAACATTTCGATCAGCGCCGAGTGAGTGACGGCGAACGAAAATGTCCTACTCGGAGTCTAAGACGTAAACGATCCCGCGGCTATCAGCACCCTCCGAACACTTGGCCGAAAAGCTTTTTCAGGGCTGCTATGAGGCTGTGTCGAGACGGGTCGAGACGGGTCGAGACGCGGTGATCGAATGTGCAGTTCTAGGTATCAAAGAGGCTTCTGTGCTCGTCTGCAGCGCGTCCGTTGTTGGCGACCAAGCCTTTTTCGCCCTTTACAAGGCTGTCACAGGATGACCGCAAAGGCAGGAAGCATGTCAGAAAATTCAGCCAGCGCTGTCACGGCATTGCCGTGGGTACAAACGCCCATAGGGCCAAGGATCGCAATGAGGTTGGGATGCCTGTGTGGCGGTAGCTGTAGCTATCCGCAAAGTTGCGACTCGGTAGCTTCGGATAGTGAGTGATGGGAAGCAAAGTTAACACGGCAATTGCTGAGCAAAAATCATCTCCAGACGTGCCTCCTGTGTTAGTAGCTGGCGTTGCCGCAGTCACACCTGCCATGCATTTACAAAAACCCTCTTTTGCGGTAGCGACCGCTTCCCTCTTTCCTCTTCAAACCCTCAACCACCAAAACCGATCCAACACATCACCTCAGCTCCTGCACCGCAACCTGCGTCGCCCGCTCTTGCCTTCCGACTACCCTCGGTGTCGCGCAGGCTCTGGCTTGCGCAAACCTGCACCATGAGGCTCAACTACAAGAACGTAAGCCTTGCTCACTCCGCCCAACGCACAGAAACCATGCTAACACGTACGCCACTTCAGCGAAAGTCGGATGGCCCTAAGCTGGGTCACATTGTCGCCAAAGACTTGGTAAGTGCGAACGTCCGTCGCCGACGAGAGCTTTTGGACTGACTGATGCCCATCCAGCGAAAGCAAACCAAGCATTGTTTCGCGAAAGCCGAGCCAAGGCCAGAACCTTCACCCCTTCTGCTCGATCTTGATGGCAAGAACCTCACCGACGAAGGGCTCTTGGCCATGGTAGAAGGCCTCAAGGAAACCTTGGACACCCGCGAGGGGGTTTGTGCCAACAAGCTTGAGGAGCTCCATCTCAAAGGAAATCAGCTCACTACCACCTCTCTGTGTGCACTCGCTCCCATCATCAAGCTCGCCCGCTTTGAGCTTGTCGACGTCGATCTCTCAGGCAATCTTATTAGCGTCAAGACTGACAAGGAAGCTGGCGACTGGGAAACCTTCCTGAAGGCTTTCGGTACATGCCGCGTGCTGAGGCGCATCGATCTTAGCGGTAACAAACTCGATGGACCACGTCCTTTTGAGATACTCGACAGAATCTACTCACAGCAGCCTCCTGTTGATCCTACGCAGCTCGAGGACGCCATGGACTGCAGCAATGGCCACGAGTCCGGGATGAAATCCAACAACGACATGACGGAGCTCACCAATCGCACCCGGGACTTCAGCATCGTATCGCCTACGGACGATCCACCGCTGGCTAATGACAGCATGTCTTCCGGAACCGTACTCAAGCGTCGTGAAGGCCTCCGCGCGATTCCATACATCATCCTCAACGACACCGCCATGACGGATGCTGGTGCACTGTTCTTCTCTTACATCCTTCAAAGGCACTTCTACCCCCAGCAGCTAATGTGCTCTTTGAGGCCCGGACCTCAGGCTGCTCAGCTCGACGAGTATGCCCAGAGGAATCACTGTTGGGGCTTGATCTACCTTCCGAATGAGGGCCTGACGGACACTGGACTCCATTTGTTGAACAAAGCAGAGGATTCGCGCTCAGCCTTTACGGGCATTATAGATGACCATGGGCTCTCTGACTCGATTGGCTCTTTCGTGATGGTTGATGCCAAGCAGGCAAATTCAGGTCTGAGGTACGTCATCACATCATGCCCTTAAGCTTTATGACAATTGCAAGTACTTGTCTAACTCTATGGTTTTTAGGAGAGCTTCCAATGCTTCATCTCTTCGGAGGCGCTCGGATGCTGCTGCAGAGCCTGGCAGGAAGCACGCTATGGCTCTGGACATTGAGAACTATCGGAAGAAAATCCAGCGCAATATCCTGGAGGAGCTGGGCTACGATAGCATTGACCTTTGGCGTTGTGCTGTGAAGATGCTCACCTACGCCAAGGTCATCATGCTGGGCCATGAACTAGGGGAGGATTCCCCGTTACCCGTGGTTGACAGGGCGGACCCGATCATGCAGATGATGCAGAAGCACGTCTTCGCTTGCCACATGACGGCCACACCCTCGGCTCATGGAGATACTGTCTTTGCAGTCACCGCGACTAGACCCGGATTCACTCGGCTCGACGTGGATGCATGGCCCAGTCTCCCTACTGCTGGTGGCGAGTCTGCACCCCAGAGAACGACAATCCCCGTCGCTATTCGGGAAGAAGATGGCCCCGAACGCAACTCAGGTCTACCGGGAGAGATACCCGAACATGTGTGGAGAGACATTCTTGTCCAAGCAGCTGGCGGGCATGGAATCCTGTCGAACGCACAACAGAGCGCCATCGTCCATTATGCTCGGGACAGGACTACCGTCGTGCTAGAGAAGGGCGAGCTCGGTAAGCCAAAGCCATTCAAGCTCTGGTGGATTCTGGAGCGCATGAGCTGCTTGGAGTACGAAATCAAGGACTGAAGGCAGCAGTTTCGGGATCAGATACCGAAAACAGCGGAAGGGTGACGGCATCCTAGGATTGAAACAGCTATGGAGTAGGGGTTTCTGGGCGACTCGGAGAAGCTTTCAGCATTGAAACTTTTGCTGGTAGACCTAAGAGATCATAGCAATAATAGCCTCTTCGGTCAATCACCCTAATTCTGGTAGTGTGGCTGTATACTGTGTAGAGGGAGCGACAGCACCAGTAGGTAGGTAGATGTTGGGCAAGATCCGTGCGCCGCATGTGAGGATCCTGTCTCGGGCTTCCAGAACACCTGACGGAAGCGGGCCCTGAGAGAATGACGTATCCGCCACCATCTTCTTTCTCAGCCCCACTACGGGCGATCCTTACACGATATATCGTATAAATTTACACGATATATCGTGTATTTTATACTATCGTTTCGCTATGTCTCAGCGTGTATTTTACACTCTAGTAATTATAAAATACACGATATATCGTATAAAACACACGATATTTATAGTTAACTATATAATATATCGTATATTCTATAGTAGCTAGTCATATAAAATATACGATATATCGTATAAAATATACGTAGAGATATAGCGAAACGATAGTATTTTATACGGTATATTATATATTTTATACGGTATATCGTATATTTTATACGGTATATCGTATAGTTTATACGATATATACTATATTCTATATATATATTCGTATATTTACTTAATTTTAACGGGTACTATATAGAAAAAAGACGCCTATACGTCTAAACGCCTAAACGCCGAGATAGCTAGAGATTAACTACTATTTTTATTACGGTTTTTAACCCGTTCTACTAACTATAACGGTAGATCTATTACGATATATTAGCTCTATAGTATTAACTAGGTAGTCTAGTAGGTACCTACGTTACTATATTATATTAATATTTTCTACTATATTCTATATATTAACTACTATATAAGTCTCGCGGTTAGAGTTTCTATTCGATCGATTGGTCTCGTAAATAACGCTAATAAGATATCGAAGGTTACGAACGTTTATAAAGAACTAAGAGCCGTAAATATTTAGATAGATAATATAGCTAGTATTATTCTTCTCGTTAAGCTCTAGGCCCGTAACTATCTAAATATATATATACTCGCTATCTTACTTACCTAGGCCTCGTACGGTTAGATAGAAGTATATCGTATATACTTCTATCTAACTACTTCTATCGCTATACGTAGCGTAACTATTATTACGTTAATCGTTAGAGTTACGTAGTTTAAGAGAAGTCTTTAAGCCGAATATATTACTCTCGCGCGGCTAGTAGCGCCGATAGTACTAGATATAGCGTACCGTATTCTCTCTAAAGCGAGTAACTAGCTTCGTCTTTCGAATTATATACTACTCGAAAGAATAGGCGTTAAGTAGGCGAAGGTAGTATTACTATAATAGAACGATTATTAGTATATTAATTAGAAGTCGTATATAGTATAGATACTTTCTACGTATTAACGTATTAGCCACGCTACTACCTATATAAGACTTTAAGCTTACTAAGAACGTAACGAGGCCGTAGATCCGCTCTATTAGAAACGCCTAGATATAGTATACCGGCCTATAATCGCGTACGTAGACGGGTAGATAAAGAATTAAGTAGAAGTTAATAGTATATACGCGAAGAGTGTTTAAATTTTTAAGATTATAGTAGATTCGTTCGTACTCGCGTATAAAGTTAATATATATTAACGTAAGAAGTAGTATATTCTTATATTCGATCTCGCGCTTAGTAGTAATAACGTATAACGTCTTAAGAGTATAGAGGTTTATATAAGCCTCTACGAATAGATATTTATATAGAAGTAGAAGACTCTAGTATCGTAAAAAGCTATTCTATTTAGAAGTCTTAAAAGACTTATAGCGCGTTATTAGATCGCGGGGGGTAGCTTCTAGAGCCGTAGATATATCCTTCTTCGCGTAGGCGAAGATTTAAGCGAAGCTAAGCTTCGCGAAGCTTCGTAGAACGTAACTCGACGTATCGCCTAGAAACTTATTATCTATCTAGAGGGTAAAGAGCCCGTATATAATATTATATAGAATATAATATATAAGATCGACCGGAAAGCTACGAGAGAAGTATAGAGACTTAAGCTCTAGAAGAATACTCTTTCGCGTAACGCCTATTATATAAAAGATATTAGTTTCTAGATATTTAAGTGCGTTATAGAATAGAAAGTAAATATTATCGTTAGAAATATATATATCTCTATCTTAGCGTTACTTCGTAGAAAATATTATCTACTATTAATATCGTCTACGCGTAGCCGCTATCTACGATATTTTTAATATCTCGTTATAAATATCGGTATACGCGCTACCTTAAATTACTCTTATAGAAGAGGTAGTATATCGACTTACGACCAATAGTAACGATATTAGAGAAGGTCTTTAAATACGTTCTATATAGTACTTTAGTATTATCTAGACGCTTTATATCTATCGTATTTATAATAGCCGGGCCGTCGCTAGTTACGAGGACGATATAAGCGTAAAGAATAAACTATCTATCTACGTCTAAATCTTATACTAGAATACTATTACTAAGGACCTTAAGTTCCTAAATAAGTAGTAGGAGATAGCTATCGAGATTCTTATATTTCTTTAGACCGGGTATTACTAGGGACACGAGTTTGTTTTCTTATTTATAGCGCTCTACCGGGGGAAGGTTAAGATTAAATAGAATAACGAAGGTAGACTTATAACTATATCGTTTTAATATTAGCTAAATACTATCTAGCGAGAGTTATAGTCTAATATCTATAATATCTTTAAATAGATTAAGTTCCTCGCGAAGAAACTCTTTAAATACTTAACCGTTCTAAAAGTTACGTAACTTACTATAGCTATCTAGAGTTATAAGGCTCGTATAGTAGTCTTTTATAATAGCTATATACCGCGAACTATATAAAAGACGTAGACGATATATAAAAGAAATATATATATACGCTCGACGAGTTCTTTAAAGACGACTATCTACTAATTAAGTATACTAAAGCTTATTATAGTATTTATACGCCCGATCGTTCTTATAGGTACTAGTATACGCTATATAAAAGTTAATATAGTAGTCGATTAGCCGCTTCTCTATATTAGTATACTTACGTAGCTAGCTAGATACGTAGCGAACGCTCGAAAGCCTTACTTTATAGTAGAAGAAAAGAAGATCGCGTAGATCGTTATATTTTACGCGGCTAATACTAGTAGCCTAGCTAGCTATATCTACTATAATTATAAGCCGGGGATCTAGTGCCGTTTTATTAGTATTATAAATAGATATCTCTAAATACGTCTTATTATATTTACTTTATTATACGTTCGCGAGATTCTAGATTTATACCGCTATAATATCTTTTATATTAAGCTCCTCGTCGCTACTTAATATATTACTAGCGATCTTAATAGTATTTAACGTCTTATTAATATTATCGTCTTTATAATTAGATACCCGGTCGGGTTCTTTAATAACTATATTATTATTAAAGTTAATATCGTCGAGTATAGTTAGTAGCGGTAGAGTTTTACGAACGACGCTTTCTTTAGTAGTAAAACTCTCGTTAGTAGGGGGCGTATTAGCGCGTATAAAGTATTAGTAGCGATAGTATAAGGACCTATAGCCGCGTCTCGCATACGCTTCGTATACGAGACCTATAGAAGTTACGTGCTAGTTACGTAACTCTCGCTTAGCTATATATAAAAGCCCTTCGGCCTACGGGCGAAGGCCGAATCCCTTAAGGATTTATTTATTAATTATAAGCCCTTTTCTTATACCTATCTTAAGCTCCCTATTCGTGCCTTATACCTTATATTCGAATCCTTCTCTTTAAATAGCCGGTTTAGGATGCCTCCTAAGCGGACCTTTCTTCCCGTACGCGACGCGTATACGTCGCGTACCGAAAACGCTACGGTCGTATAAGACCCCTTAACCGGGTCGAACTATCTAACCTCTAGCGAATTAAACGATAACGCCGACGAGGTACCCCCGATACCTACCGCTATAGAAGAACCCCCCTCTATAATAATCACGCCCGAAGACGTCATTACGAACCTAAAAGCTAAGATCTATAGGCTCTCTATAGTAATCCCGACCTCCTCGGCTTAAATTATCGAATTAAACGCTTTAATTAAGGGTCTATAGGAACGTATTAAAATACTCTCTTAGCTAAGCGTACCTAAAACGTATACTTCTCGTATATATCTCGACTCCGAAGCGCGGAAGGCGATCTAGCGAGAAAAGAACGTTCCCGAACTATAAACCGCGACCTAGTACTATTTCGATAAGTGAATTAACGAGTTAAATAATAAGTTTAATATGCTTAATCTATAAGACTAGAATACCGAGAAGCGGACCCGTTAGGCCCTCTAGGGCCTCGCGAAGTACGAAGTAATCGCCTAGTACGTCTACCGACGCCTAGATAAATCTATAACCCGGGAAGAGCTTCTCTTCGAGGAGTTTAAAGTAATCGTTTAAAATTAAGTAAGGAACCCCATCTTACGGCGGTACGAGAATGCGGTTATATTCTACCGCTTCCTAATAAAGCCTAGTACGTCGTATTAGAAGTACCGCGCCCGTATAGAAAGCCTATATAAATAGCTTCTATACGCGGTAGCCGATAAGGACCTTCTTATCGATCTCTTCTTTACGAATCTCCTAGAGGTCTATCGTAAAGAACTCCTTAAACACCCTACGATAAAGACTATCCGGGGGGTTAAGGAACTCTACGACTTAATTATTAGCCTTAAGTAGACGCTCGGCTTAGTTAAGATGGCGTAGACGGAGGAATAATAGCGCTAGGGCGTAGGCTATAAACGCCCGCGTCCGGCCTACTCTACCGATAGTAGGCGAGGTCGGTTAAGGAACTCGAGCCGATATAAGCTACCTCGCTAAGAAGACTTCTAGAAGTCGACTCGTAGGTAAGGCGTAGGCGCTTCGTATACGAAGCGTAACTCGGGCTCCCGCCGGTTTAAT